ACAACTAACACTGGCACTGGTACTGGCAGGTAATAAACTGTTCTAGCCAAAGGGGCAGGGTTCAAGATGCAAAGACTTGGGAATATTTGCTATAAAGGCTTTATTTAGTATAAAACCACCAGGTAAATGAAATATAAATGGAAAAGAGCATACGATTAATATAACTGCCCAAAACATTCAACTCTTACCGCGTGTTATGCCCCTATACTCTCTAAAACTGGCTGACAATGACATATACTGACAAAAAAATACTGGTTGGTACTCGAATGACACCAAAATATTAACTGACAACCTCGAGACCAAAATCACTGCCAAAGTTATAATTGCATGGTGCGATTTTCTTTTAGCGGGAAAAATAAGTGTCACATGGCTCTTTGGTTAATCAAAAAATCATGGATATAATTAATAATGAGACGAAAAATGAAAAATAATATTAAAATTTGACAATGAACAATAAAAATTACTTCTAAAGTTTTCTGGCCATAACAACTTCCTCTCTCACAAAATATTGTAAAATTTTAAGAGCTATGAGAGAAAAAATAAAATAAGCTGTCATTCTTACCGCACCATAATTTCTAATTGTGATGGGACTCCAGCAAAACGGGCCTCCAAGTTGGTATATAGTTTGTAAAGTAGATCGTCTCAAAAATGTAACGACCACGAAAAAGGACACACACCATCAGGTAAGCGCATCTTTTTATCGTGTTTTTCCTCCCGAAAAGTAAAATTCAAACACTTTCTTTCAGTGGTGATATGCGTACTTTCATTTTTACGGTAACAGTTTCAGGAAGTAAATAGAACACAATCACCAAATTCAAACCACTTAGACTGACAAACATAACAGCAAGATAAAGGAATCCCCAAAATTTGATAAGATATCCGGTAGCATATTGTCCTGCTGATGAAGCTACAACTGAACACCCTTCTTAGATTGCTATGGCAATAGTTCTTGAATTTCCAGAAACTCACATCCGCACTATAAGAAAACATTGCTACTAACATAATGAAATACGATCCACCCAAACCATCGATTCCGTACGCCAAATAAAAATGATTTAAATTTAGATTATAGTAAACGATGAACGTAATGACCAAATCTTTAGCTAAGATGCCCAAGGCAGGAATAAGAAATATTGTCTTTTTACCTACTGCATCAGAGAGTGGTCTTTAAGACAGCAACAGACCCTCCAACAAGAGAATAATACAGAGTTAGGCTTGGCGCTTCCTTTTGTATTTCTTGCTCCAGGGCTGTCATCTTTTCCACACGAACTTGTAGTTTTATTGACCGTCATATTTAAATGTGTCAAATTGATTTGTTCATATTTTATTCTTTGGACCTGTGATATTACGGGTGGCTTTCGCCAAGGCCGCCATTATATAAAACATGACCAATATACCCGAAACAAGAGCTGGACGGACGTATAGGGGAAAATCCGGCGGTAAACTGTTTTGTGGTCTTCTTTTTAGCAATGGCGTCGCCGAATCTACTTAGATTTCATTTTAATAGTTAGTATCTTAGTTGTCAGTCCATTTCTCTTCAGCTATGAGGTGGTGACCACCACAGCTTGGTTAAATGTAACTGATCAGCAGTGAATATTCGCTAGGCCGCTACAATCACTGATAAGGATTACATCGATGCGACTTAATGAGCCACAAATATTAACTTTTTTGCTCCGACAAATTAAATTCTAAAACATTTTTCTTGTGTATTAGAAAAATAAATAAAGACGTTTGACGTATTTAAAGGTAAATATTATTTCCTATTTAGTGTAAATGGGTATTAAAATGAGTAAAAGATACCATTCTGCCCGGACCCGTAACGTCTTATGTAAACAATACACGCACCATTGAACCCATGATTGACGCCGCGTGATGAGACGTCACGTGTTGAAGGTAGTCATCTTTTACAGAGATATTAAAAGACTTTCTTAATCATCTGTGAAACAGATTGTAACTGTCTTGTCACCTGATTGTTTTTTTCAACGTATACCGATTACAGTAAAGACTAAGAACGCCATTTATCTAATAGCTTACTCTTATCTAATTAGTACTATACATACGAAAACGTATAGCCTTCGTCAAAGTATAAAATAGATGGTTATCAAATATAAATATACATTAAACAATTGAAATACGCACAGTTAAAAAAAAAGTTTATAAATTACAATACTAGTAGCCAAAATCATCAATGTTTATACAACATTGATTAGTCAGCTCTAAAATTAACTGAATGAAAATGTATTTCTGTTAAATTGTCTAAATCTGTTTTACTCAAATCAAAAATCATATTGCTGATTTGTTTAGTGTGGTGACAATTGGACTTCGTTGAAAATTCTGCGTATCGGATAAATCCAGTTTTGAGATATAACATATTTTATGATTCACTGGCACAGTACCGGTAAGCCAACATTTGAATTGAAATTAGTAAACAAGACAGCACCACCTTAATCTTCCTAAAAAAACAGGATGTCTTTTATCAAAATAACACATCAGATCGAAGAGGATTATTTCCCTTTAAAATACGGATGTAACGTCATCCTGTGATGTTGGCATACCATTATTTTAAATAATGGTGCGGGCAATGTGCCAAGCGTACATTATTTATACTAGTTGCAATATTGGACCCGCGTGACGTATTTCATTAAAATGCACGTGTTGGATAGTGTCTGCATTTTAAGTTGTTTAATGGTCTCGTGCAAGACATTGCGTAATATATAGATATTGCCCTCGTGCTATCGCACTCGTACAATATCAGTATATATCGCACTCGACCATTAAACTACTCTTAAGATGAAGTTTGTAGGTATAGCCATTTACTTCAAGATCAAACTAATTAATTATTTATTCTTCAGATATCCTTTGTTTTCTAGAATTATCTGATATGTTACAATTTATGTGTCTTTAGGTTAATTCGGACATTTCCTTATGTCCTTGCGCTGATTTAAAGGAGCTAAATCGCTAATATTTGGGACCTACAAATTGACACAAATCGGTCGCAACGTATATAATGTAAATTATGAATGTAAATAAACTGATTTACATTCAATCGTTTCCATTTTTACTCTAATTTTAAAGCAGTTATGTTCGGCGAAATACGCCAGAAGTCTCAATCGAATGGTAATCTCTAGCGACTGGTTTTTCCAGTCTATACCGATAGTATTTATTAGGCATGCTCTCCAGATAAGAATATGGGGTCACCGTTTGACATGACTTGTGCAATATGTCTAACTTCGTTCTTCGGTTCGCTTGTTTCAAATTGCGCTGAAACGCATTATGGTACACGATTCGTGTACCAATCGTAAAATGTTTATTTTGTCTTAAATATTGGATATCAGAAGCCCATCTTTTCCCGGTAATATCACAACACCAATGTTGATTAAAATTGACAAATAATTCGTGTTTTCAATGTCGAAGGTTTTGGATGATACTGAGTTAGAGACTTAGCTACTTTAAGAGTTGGTTGTAACAGATAATACCGCCTGTCAATTTCTAAAATATATAGTAACCAAGAAGCTTCTTGATAGTAACTAATCAATTTGAAGGACTCGTGATATAGATAACATAGGTCATGTTTGTATATTTACCGACATACTAATAAACCAACACTGTTCTGAAGATGTGTTACACTCTCCTACATTAGAAAATAAATGCAATTAATTTAAATTAACATACAATAGCCCATTTAACAAATTCAAGAACATACTAATTAAGGAAAGTTATTTTTAACCTCCTTACTAATAAATCAGTAGTGTTATTTAAACATACATTATGCAAGAGCTAAATCTGTCTATTTCAGGTCTTTCTTTAGGCCTGAAATGTTATCTAAATTATTAATTAGACATTAATTAACCTATCCAGGCCATAATCAACTCCAGATGGCAGCGCTAGCCTGCGATCTTTAGTGGATTGTAAGCCGATTTACTGCATAACTTTCCTTCTCGATTAAACGATTAAATTGATAATCGAGACTATGCTGTTTATCGTACTGCCTTTAGTTATGATGACCGAGGCTTATGGGAATTCCAGTCGCTTAGTTCTCGGTTCATAGTGGATCAATTTGAATGAAATTTTCACCAAATTGCCTTTACATTATCTAGTTTTTAATTATTATAGTGAGAACTGCTAACTCGTTACCGAATCTCCCATAACGTATCTTTAACTATGTTTGAGATTTAATCAACCAACATATTAATAATAATGTCTAAATGGTGTCTAAATGGTACTGTGTAGATAAGTACCATATTATATTTGATTTGTAATCGTTGCTGTATGATTAGATAATAAATCATTATATAAATATCGAAAGATGTAGTTTATCAAGGAGAGGGGGGCTTTAGGTTAAGTAATATCAAATGTTAACGATATGCATATTGTCTTGCCTCCAAAAAGATATATTGGTATTGAAATAATGTCAAGGGATGATAATTCCATGTATTTAACTCACTTTTAACAATTTTAATAAGAAATTGAAGAAATGGGCAATGGCAAGCAATTTTGGAGTCGGGGTGGCTCCTGGAATAGACAGTAGATAAATAATAGTTGCTGAAAGGTCACTTTTGTTTACCATTAGAAGCAATCTTCCTACTAATCACCGACAAGAGCTTTTGTTATTTTTTTGTCCATAGCACCCAATTTATTGGAATCCTGGTGTTGGCCGTGAAAGTTCATCGGCGTAGTGCGCCCTAGTCAGTGGTGCAGGACAGGGGGCCTGGCAAAGGAAAACGTACAGTCGTTCAGATGGGACGAGCATTGACGTGCACGCTGGAATTCGAAATAAGAGTAGGCAGTAGTTCCGCTGTTGGGGCAAAATTTCCCTCATAGCACAAAGTATGCAATGGCGGCACAGCCGCCGGTGGATGGAGGGGCAAAGCTGTGGCAACGTCCAAGCTAACTCAATCATAGCGTCCATGCGCTCACCATTACCCCCCCCCCCCCCCAACCCCACCCCGGAAATCGAAATAAGAACAGGCCTTAGTTCTATTTTACAAACGCATGGGGCATAGATTGGAGTGAGGATATCTGAGCCTGAGGGAAAAACAAAATCCTGTAATTGTGTATCTATAAAATTTAGCATCACTTGTTAATGGACAACCACAGTCCAATGCATCAGATAGTAATGATTATCAAAAAGGACGACAGACTATTGATGCGGGGGATCTGTATCTAATGCGAATTTAAAAGAATCAATCAAAATATATACATATAACATATCATCTTTTGAATGCGTTAAACCATGTCTTCGAAAATTCAGATGTAATCAAATCGACTTTAGGTGGTAGACTACATACATTGTTATGAACAACTGTAATATTACTTGTATGAAGGCTATCTTGTCCTGGATTCGGTTCAGTCTCCGCAATTAACAAGAGAACATATAAGTAAGTTTAAAACCAGCCTAGATGCACAGATTTTATAATATAAATGTGATAATAATAATTTGAATGAGATTAGTATTATTATGACATATTATAGTATTAGTTTTATGGGAATAGCTCATAACATTCAATCCAAAATGCGTTTTCACGCAAGGAGAAGGAGTTTTAAAATACAGATAGTAGAAAAAGACAATAATAACACAATATATACAATGCAATTAAAAAATAAACAAACAAATAATTTATACATTACGTATATCGACCTGGCACAATGAACATTATGAAACCTGTTCAAATGACGTTGAATTGAAAAGTATCTTATTTTAAAAAGAAAACAACTGACATGGGCGATATATTGAAACAATGGCTGTGTTTCGGAACAATATAAAACTGAAACTTAATTCTATTTGGACTAAACGGAACCATTTAAAAACTATTTATTTTTCTATTCAATCAATAAACATTAGGCTTCTCGCTGCTACCATAGCTATCATCGTTCACGGTCACCTTGATTTCATAAGTTGGATAGATATCACCACCTTTGCCTGATATCCATATAAAGGCTCTGAAAAACAAAATATAACTGATAAAATTTGTAAAAAGGAATATCTTCTAAAGAAAAATTACTCGTTACATGAAAAATCCAATTCTTTGCTCACTCACGTTAATGGGTGGCATTTCGACAACAATGATAAAGTTTTCTCTGTCACCGTTTAAAGATGTCTTCCTAACTGTGTGATATATCTGGACTAAAAACATATTCAAACTAGAACTGCGACGCAGTAATGACGGGTTTCACCGGTGCCCCGTTACCATTGAACATACCGATGAAACCATTAAACAGGTTTCCATATAAGCATTGAACACATCAAATAAAATGTACGCAGAATCAACAAAATGCAGCAATATCAATTCATTGTATACATTTGTTACATGTAAGTGATCCTGACAGAATTACATTACTTCCGGTGATAATGAAAATGTTATGAAATCAGAAATGGCATAAGGCATCACATGGTGAAAATTTTATGTAAATCGAATAATAATTTCCACTTTCATAGACCAAAAACCTTGAACAGTGACTTGTAGAATATCGTCTATTTCTCTGCAACCATACAAGTTAGAAACCATATTTTGGTATCTGTATGATCGTATGGGTTCAATCTACTTGTTGATTGGAATGAAATATCATAATCTTTAAAACATTACAAATCAGACTCATTTGAATAAAATATCCGTTTTAAAGGCTAAAAATACAGTTTTTGCCAAAATGACGTTACTTCCGGTGATAATGAAAATCTTAAATTACTTGAATGACATTGTAAATGGCATTAGGTATCACACGGTGAAAATTGTATGAAAATCGAATAATAATTGACACTTTTATGGACCAAAAACCTTGAAAAGTTGCCTGTTGAAAATCGTTTATTTCTCCGCAAATGAGCAAGGTAGAAACCATTTTGTGATATCTACATGATCGTATGGGTTCATTCTATTAGTTGATTTGAATCAAATATCAAAATTTTAAACAAATAACAAATACGACTCATTTGAATAAATTATTTGTTTCGAAGGCTATAAATACAGTTTTTGCCCAAATTACGTCATTTCCGGTGACTTTGAAAATGTTAAATTGGTTTGACGTAGTTAAAATTGACATTACGCATCAAATGGTGTCACTTTTATGAAAATCCAATAAAATTGACTCTTTTACAGGCAAACTAGCGGAAATTGTGGCTCATGCAAAATTGCCCATTTCTCGGCAACTGCTCATATTACAAACTAATTTTCACATACATTCTCTTCGTATGGATTATTGCTACAAGTTTATGAAAGTTGTGAAGAAATATATTAAAACATGAATGGGTTGTAAATAGCTCATTTTTCACCTTTTTCACCTTTAAATCGAAATGACCCAAAAACAAAATCGAAATTAAAAAAACTGAGCCCGATGTTTTCTGCGCCTTTACAGGGCACACCCTTTCAGTCATACCAGATTTGAAAAAAATAATATTTGCTTTCAAAAAGTGGTACCGAACTGTCAAAATTGTAGTTTTTGCTAAATTTACACCACTTCCGTTGCCGAAAGGAAAATGTACCGGTAACAAAAAAAAAATGACATTTTAGACCACGGGGCATATGAACTTTGGTTTATACAAATCAAACAATAAATAATTAATCCAGGACTGAAAAACTGAATTAGCCAATGGGGGCCAATGAAAAATACGGTGACAAATTGACATTTTTTGTCAAATCAGATGACCCTTTAACCCTTGGTAAAATACCACATAAAAATATTCATTAAAAAAGTTTTTCGTAAAAATTTTAATTTTCAAAATTTGGCGCCTAATATCTCCGAAGATTCGTCGAAAATAAAAAATCCAAAGAACCTTAGCTATGTGCCTTGTCTCTGGCTATGTCAAAATGTATCAAATATTACAATCCGACAATTATTAATAAAATTACGGCAAAATATCGAAAAACGACAACTTCGGTGATTTCGGACATTTCGCATTGTCGCAGAACGTTGGAAATAGCTTTAAAATTTAAGTCAAACCCACTTTCTCAGTAAAACCAAAGACATCGAATCGATCCGACCAGTAGTTTCTGAGATATGCTCAAATGGAAAAACAATAATAATAATAATAATAATAAGAACTAGAACTGCGAAGCAGTAATGACGGGTTTCACTGGTGTCACGTTACCATTGAACTTACGTCACTTTTGGTGCCATGTTACCCTTGAACTCATCGCTTCCAGTACCAATGGAACCGATAAATAGATATGCACAAACTTTGCACGCATCAAATGAAATGGAAGCAGAATCAACCAAATCCAGCAATGTCAATTCATTTTATACATGTGTTACATGTAAGTGATCCTGACAGAATTACATTACTTCCGGTGATAATGAAAATGTTCAATTAGTTTTATGAAATCAGAAATGGCATAAGGCATCACATGGTGAAAATTCTATGTAAATCGAATAATAATTGCCACTTTTATAGACCAAAAACCTTAAAAAGTGACTTGTAGAAAATCGTTTATTTCTTTGCAACCGTACAAGTTAGAAACCATATTTTGGTATCTGTATGATCGTTTGGGTTCAATCTATGCGTTGACTGGAATTAAATATCATAATTTTAAATACTTTACAAATCAGACGCATTTGAATAAAATATCTGCTTTGGAGGCTAAAAATACAGTTTTCATTCTATTAGTTGATTGGAATCAAATATCCAAATTTTAAATAAATAACAAATACGACTCACCTGAATAAATTATTTGTTTCGAAAGCTATAAATATAGTTTTTGCCCAAATTACGTCATTTCCGATGATATTGAAAATGTTAAATTGGTTTGACCTAGTCACAATTGACATTACGCATCAAATGGTATCACTTTTATGATAATCCAATAATAATTGATTGACTCTTTTACAGGCAAAATAGAGTAAAAAGTGACACTTGCAAAATTGACCATTTCTCGGCAACTGCTCATATTACAAACTAATTTTGAGATAGATTCTTTTCGTATGAATTAATGCTACAAGTTTATGAAAGTCAAAAAGAAATATTTTAAAATATGAAACGCCTGAATGGGTTGTAAATAGCTCAATTTTACACCGTTTTTCACCTTTAAACCGAAATGGCGCAAAAATGAAATCGAAATTAAAAAAACGGCTTCCGACTTTTTTTGCCCCTTTACATGGCGCAACTTCTTTCTTTTTACTTATTTTAAAAAAATAATATTTGCTTTCGAAAAGACGTACCTAACCGCCAAAATTGTAGTCTTGGTCAAAATTACGCGATTTCCGCTGCTGACAGAAAGCTTTATCGGTAATAAAAAAGTTGAGACTTTGCACCATTGAGCATATGAACTTTGTTTTATACAAATCGAGCAATAAATAATTAACCTAGAACCCATAAACTGAATTAGCCAATAGCGGCCAAGGTGAATTATCGATACAAAAATTTTTCATATTTTTGCTCAAATTACATGACCCTTTAATTATAGGTAGAGCGCCATAAAAAAATATTAATAGATAAAAAAGTTTTTTGTCAAAATTTAAATTTTCAAAATTTGGCGCCTAATATCTTCGAAGATTAATCGAAAATCAAAAATCTAAACAATCGTAGCTATTTGCCGTGTCTCGGGCTATGTCAAAATGTATCAAATGTTAAAATCCGACAATTATTGTTAATATTACAGCAATATTTCAAAAAACGACAACTTCGGTGATTTCGGACATTTCGCATTGTCACAGAAAGTTCGAAATAGCTTTAATCTCTAAGTCACACCCACTTTCCAAGTAAAACCGAAGACATCGAGTTGATCCGACAAATAGTTTCTGAGATATGCTCAAGTGGAAAAAAATAAAATAATAATAAGAAGAAGAAGAATAATCTTAACAAAAACAATAGTGTTTCACACTGGCTACGCAGTGTGAAACCCTAATTATTCTATCTATCAAGCGTTTGCTTCAAATCTCTCTCAAACCTTTTAACAACAACTGTCTATACCCCAAGTCGTAAAATATATTTTATTCAACCTTGTGATTGAGTGAAGGTCCATTTAGCTTGTATTTGTCGTTACTTGCTGTCAGTTTACCTTTACTATCGATGCGTAAGTAAATTCTTGCATTATCTTCGCTCACTTTTTCCTCAGCCGTTTAATCACGGGGACTGATTCTAACAGTTCTCACAACTGCTAGCCATTTGATCAACACATACCAAGCCGACATGGGTGTTTTAAGGGAATCCAGTTTGTTTCTAGTACGATTGGGTGTCTCTACGTTCCATACAAATTTTGACATACTTTTATAAGAAATAACTACTCTATAAATACTTTCGTGGGAATGCATCTTTAACCAAAAATATTCAAAAAATCACCGTATAGTAATTTCACTTACATTAAGAATATTATATCTATCAAAGCCATACCAGCCATCATAAACCAAACAATTCCTTTATAATATTCTACAGTAGCATTATATACAGCACTATACAGTAAATTAGATGTGCTATTACATATAGTTTCAACGATTGCTATACTAGCAAATAATGACCCTGAAAATATATATTTGAATACACAGTTCAAAGAACACAGTAAATATCGCTGACTGCATTTATTTATCATCAATATAAGTTCAGTTAGTCAGGTATCTGCGCAGGTTAAGAGGAAAGGAAGGGAATGATGGGGTTAAGTATTTCGTGAACAAATACGTCGGTTATTTGAGACTAAAGATTAATTGTATTTAATTTTTCAGTCACGTTCTGATGGGAGGAAAGGGGGAACCAGCCTTGGAAAGTCCCATATGATATTCCACGGCCTCTTTTTTAAGGCGAAAAACATATCGGTTGCAAATACTTGCAAATTAACAAATATCAAAATTGCGAATATCGATTCTAATCGGTTAAAAAAGTGAATGGCGAATTTTGTTATATGCGATAATAAAGGTTATATATATATAAAAAAGAGACCAAAACTAATAAAATAGATACGTTTTAACAGAAGCTGTGGCTAATTAAAGATAACCTCGGTTTCCAATCATCATAATAACAATTCTGCTGTCTTAAAGGATCTAAATCGCTATTTTTTGGCACTTAGACATGGACACAAATGGGTCACAACGCATATAATAATGTAATATGAGTGTATATAAACTGATTTACATTAAAACGTTTCTGTTTTTACTGTAATTTCTGATCAGTTATGAGAGGCGAAATGCGCCAAAAGTCCAAATTGAATGGCAGTCTACACCGGTTGTATTCTCCTGTGGGATATGTTAAGCCTCGTTGATCGAGTCGCTTCATTATAAATTGCGCTCGAAATTATTCTTGCACGCGATTCGTGTGCCAATTTCAAAATGTTCATTTTGTCTTCAATATTGGATATCAGAGCCCATCTTTTCACGATAAGATAATAACATCAATATTGATTTAAGTTTATCGATAAGTTGTGTTTGCAACGTCGAAGACTGAAGATGATATTGCTTAAGCGACTTACATTACAATAGTAGTGAAACATGATAGATCTATACTATTTACCTTGCTGTGACGGTAAGGCCATTTTAGACAAAATAGATCTAGCTATTGGTATAGAAGCAGCTCCAATTAGTGATACCAAGGGCACTACAATATGTCAATAGAATATATAAAATAATAGCATAACTACGACAATGTTTGTTTTCCGATAGACTAAATTCAAGACGTAATTTTGTACGTATGTATAGTTCAGACACCTCGTCTATGGCTTTGAGAGCAGGACAGGGAAGCGTTGTTACTAACCAGCTATCGTGTATTTCCAATTTAATTACCAAATTTCATTGATTAAAGGAGCTAAATCGCTAATATTTGGGACCTAGAAATTGATATAAATGGATCGCGCGCATTTAATAATGTAATATGAATGTATATAAACTGATTTACGTTCAATCGTTTCTGTTTTTACTCTAATTTTAAGTCAGAAATAATCCAGAGGTCACTAGCGTGTGGTTATTCCAGTCTACACCGATAGTATTTATTAAACATGCTCTTCAGATAAGAATATGGCGTCACCGTCTGACATGAATCGTGGAATACGTCTAGCCTCGTTTTTCGAGTCCCTTGTTACAAATGACACCGAAACGCATTATGGTACACGATTCGTGTACCAAAGGTAAAACGTTTATTTTGTCTTAAATATTGGATATCAGAAGCCCATCTTTTCCCGGTAAAATCACAACATCAATGCTGATTTAAATTGACAAATAATTCGTGTTTTCAATGTCGAAGACTTTGGATGATATTGAGTTAGAGACTTGGCTACTTAACACAATTTGAAAGAAACCGGAAGATACCTTGAGATGCTGAGTAATCACATATTTTAAGGAGCGCCATTTGTGCCCATAGCAATACTCGCAACGTGTTGCCTCTAAATAAAAAATAAGTCAATGATCATTGCACGATCCTCAGAAATTCATCTCGGATTGGATATAGTCTTTTTTAAAGGAAATGCAGTACTGCATAGTATAACTCGCACCAACAATTAGAAGAAAAGATATTATTATAACCATATCAATACATATTTACCTAAGTACATTAGCAAACTTGTGTCAGCCATTCCTTCCAACAAAAAGCCTGCTATAGCTGATAAACAGCTAATAATACTGATAATCTCTTCTCGTAAAAATTTTTGTAATATTTTCAATGCCAAAACACCACAAATGAACGATATTGTCAACCTGGCTGCACCGTAATATCCAATTTTGATAGAGTCCCAGCAAAATGGTACTCCAAGCTGATATATAGTTTCTAAGGAAGTTCGCCCCAGCGTTGTAACGACACTAAAAAAGAATACACCCAATGCAGTTTGGTAAGCACATCTTTTAATCCTACTTCCTTCGGTAAAGTAAAATCCAAACACCTTTTTTATACTTTTCAAAGGCGATTTTTCTGCTTTCCTTTTGACTGTGAGTGTTTCGGGTAATAAAAAAAATACAATCACTATATCCAAAGCACTTATACAAACTACCATAACCATGGGATAAAAGAATCCGGTAGATTTTATGAGATATCCGGTAGCAAGTTGTCCTACTGAAGCAGCTACAGCTAAACATCCTTCTAAGACTGCTATGGCAATGGTTCTTGAATTCCCAGGAACTGTAATATCGGCACTGTAAGAAAACATAGCTACTAACACAGCATAATACGACCCACATAAACCATCAATTCCATATGCCAAATAGAAATAATTCAAATTCATGTTATAGTAAACGATAAACATTATAATTAAATTTTTACATAAAACCCCCATCACGGGAATCAAATAAATGGTCTTTCTACCGATTGAATCGGAGAGTGGTCCCATGAAGATGTTAATGAGTATTGCAGAAGAACCCGCTGTAAGTGAATAATACAGGGTCAACATTGACGCCTCCTTCTGGACTTCTTGCTCCACACGACCAAATTCGGTAAGATTTGAATGGTTTCCACAAGGACTTGAAATATCATTATCTGTGATATTTAAAAATGTTGCATTGAATTTTGCCTCCTTTAATCTTTGGACCACGTACTGGGACATAACTGGTGTCAAAGACACGGCTGCCATCATGTAAAATACAACTGATACACCTGAAACTATCCATGCTCTGACAATAGGGAAATTTGGAGGTAAACTTCCTTCGGATTTTCTGTTTAGTAGACTCGTCTTCTCGTCATCTTGTTGCTCCATTTTGTCGATCAATGAAAGCTTAAAACAGTGGCCAATTTTCTGCTGATAAGTTTATCTCCTGTTCACTTTTCCGGTGATGCTGAATGCAACATCTTCATATGACACGAATTGTTAAACTCGACTTAAATTATTATCCTCCCTGTGTCACCTGATAATTACTGATTAAAATGGACGTGATGTTGAAATTAATACGCATTCCTGCGTCATGGCTGACTTTTCTTAGTTCACGCTTTTATCCAATTCAGCAATTCTTCAACGACTATCCTTCTCTGCGTGTATCTGAAACATTTAAAACATATTAAATAAAGCCATCGTTTAGAAGTGTATGTGCATTCTGGAATTCATTTTTGCGAGAATAAAACTACTTACAGCAAAATACCCTTTTATAATTTATACTTCCTTGATTTATCAAATAGAGAGGCAATCAATGTTACCAAAAACACCACAAAAAGGCACAATGATCGTTTGTTGAAATATTTAGAATAAAAAAAAATGTCAAAATTGTTTCATTTAACAGCTGACCCATTATTGCCCGCATAGACCAACACGTCTTTATTTAAACAAATCTAAATAAGCACAATCCTGACAATAGGTTCTAAATTTTAAGAGAAGAAATTACTCCTTCAAGTTGTCTATGTCCCCCCTCTTTATCCATCGATCTCCCAGAAATGAAATGAAATGAGGTTTAACGTCTTACATTCCGGCAATCGATTCCCCGGTTGTACGTGACAAGGAGTAGGGTCGCCTGTCCAACCTCGTGGGTTTTCTCTGGGTCCTCCGGTTTCCTCCCACTGCTAAAGACCCCTACGCGCAAGCGAATTTTTGAAATAAAATTGGAACCATGTGTTAGTCCCGAAATGACCTAGTTTGTGTTGAGTGGACGTTAAATCCCACCTCTCTCTCTCTCTCTCTCTCTCTCTCTCTCTCTCTCACACACACACATTCCGGCAACCAATCTTATGAATACGGTAGCTGTCATCTCCGGGTCCTCCGGTTTCCTCCCACTGTTAAAGACTACTACGCAAAAGCTAATTATTGAAATACAATTGAACCGTGTGTTAGTCCCAAACTGACCTAGTTTGTGTCGAGTGGACTTTAAACCCCATTTCTCACTCTCTTTGTCCTGGTATAGTGGGTCGGATCTTCGATTTATAGTAGGTCGGTCATCATAACAGTGGCATCGCGTTTGAGATTATAAACTCCTTAAGAGGTTTAAATATATAAATATTACATGAAATATTATATGAATTGTTTGTAAGATAATAATTAGCCCACTTACCTACATTCTCAGGTCAAAAATGTATTAATCTATGCAATACAAGGTAAGATTCCTACGCAAATGTAATCAGCTTGAGAAATTGAATTATTATATATTCTAACCGATATATATATATATACATATGCATATATATAATTATGCAAATCAATCTGTTAATGTATTGTTATATGCATACGGTCCCGATCAGTATTAAGGGACAGATTTTTTACCATGTGTATACCACAACATACGAAGCACATCGGCCTACCCTATCAATCTATCCATTTTTATGGACAGCATTTTAAAGTCATATCACTGCTTTTTGCATTATCTTTGCATTTAATCTTACTGGGCATTTAATGTAATGCGGTCTCCCTTTTGATACGTGTATAAATTAATAATATTAAATCATGACCATCAAAGGCCATATGGCTATTATCTTTCAAACCTTAAAATAGACGAACATGGGTCTTAAAGGAGCCAAGTCGCTAATATTTGGGACCTAGAAATTGACACAAATGGGTCGCAACGCAAACAATAATGTAATATGAATGTATATAAATTGATTGACATTCAATCGTTTCGGTTTTTACTGTAATTTTTAATCAGTTAGGTTCGGCGAAATACGCCAGTATACTCAATCGAATTTCAATCTCTAGCGTCTGGTTATTCCAGTCTACGCCGATATTATTTATTGGGCTTGCTCTCCAGATAAGAATATAGCGTCACCGTTTGACATGACTTGTGGAATATGCCTAACCTCGTTTTTCGAGTCCCTTATTACAAATAGCGATGAAACGCATTATGGTACACGATTCGTGTACCAATGGTAAAATGCTTATTTTGTCTTAAATATTGGACATCAGAAGGCCATCTTTTCCCGGTAAGATGACAACATCACTGTTGATTTAAACGGACAAATAAATCGTGTTTTCAATGTCGAAGAGTTTGGATGATATTGAGTTAGAGACATAGCTACTTTAAGTCAGATAATATGAATGTATATAAAGTGATTTATATTCAAATTTTAAAATGTTTATGGTAATTTTTAATCAATTATGCTGGTGAAATACGTGAAAAGGCAAACGTTCTTTTTATCATTTTGTTTCGCTTTTTTGAAGCAGCCATTTCTAACTACTTCCGCATTGTCTTGTACACGACCCATGTTCTGATTTTAAAATGTTCATTGTATCCTATTTAATATTTGACATTAGGAGCCCATATTTTCACGGCAGGATAACAATATTAGTATTGATTGGAATGGGCCAATATTGAATTCTTGTTCGTGGTTTTAATTTCGATTATTATTATGGAAAACACTGAATTACAGGTTTAGCTCCTTTAAATGACAGTGCAAAGATGTCAATCGTAAAAAGGAGGTTAAAAGAAATGCAAGTGGGTGTCGCATATCCGAATTCTAGATAAGATAAAATAATATATATAACATACGTATGTGGATCGATACTGTTCATCAGTTCAAAAGCACTTTATTTAATCTGGGCTACTTTTAAAAGGAGCCAATTTCAATTTGAGTAAATCAAAAAAAAAAAAGTTTCGTTTTTCGCAAAGGACAATTCCTAATTGATATAAATTATCATAAAAATTAATCGTAAAACTGAAATATAACAGAAATTTAAAAAAAGGATTATTTATAATACATTCGGTTAATGGATTACACATTAAATTTTAATGTTGTTTAACACAAATATTCAGCAGTTTCGTTATACTGCCTTTTCAAATTCACGTTAACTATTAGCATCGTGGTTATTATTAGTTTATAAAATCCAATCAGTATTTGCACAAACTTATTGAACTAACAAATACTAGGTTTGAAAACTCTTTAATCGATTTACTACCCAAATAACCTATGTATACAGTAAGTGACGTTATAGAGAGAGAAACAAGGGACCTTATTCAAGAATATTGGAAGTACAGGGGCTTAAACGTTTCGTATATATAGTAAACGGCCTCGCAAAGACTTAGGCTATTACTGTTTTGGGTGTACATCACAAAGCACAATGCAGTATTCATGTAGTATAAACTATACTATCTGGATAAAAGTATGCTGCACGTGCACATAGCTAGGAATCAGTCAGAGTTACTGATCTCTCCGAATCTAAATTCCGAATCATCAACACATGTATTGTGTTTTTTTCTGTAAGGTGTGGCTTCGTCCTCATGACGCATCTATTCCTTTAGTATTTAAACAATTCCAAAATGGTTGCGGTTGTGTCGGGTCCGAGTCCATAGTCCATAATTTTGATTCGATTTACCTTTGAACTACCACCACAGAACTACCATGTAAAAGTGCTGATTCATCTCCGTGTTTAATATAGCTTTCCTTTTAATACCAAACGTGTAATATAAACAGTGACCGAGGAAGTTTCATTATTGACCTATAAAACTTCTTTATCTCAACATTCACCGAATAGTGACTTTGAAGCAGAATAAAACATAAATTATTGATATTTATACTTACTTGTTCACGTTCACTTTTACGATATCATGGAGTGTGGAATCGGGCGGTATACACAGATGTTATGTTGAATACGAACTTCCTAACCACCATATCTTATTATTCAAACATTACACACCTATTAATGTGTACATAACATAAGGTGACTATGAATATACCTTGTGATCGAGATCGTTTTGTGAGATACGTTTTCTATTTTTACGTCTGCCACGGTTTGACTTGTCTTTATGAATGTGACTCGATTAAAATATATTTGGTGAGTTGCGTAGTAAGGGTGGAGGCGTCTGGGGCAAACGTCACAAATGAAATGAAGTCCGACATGCACCATCCAGGTTGCTATGAGTGAAATTTTTTCCGGACATCGGCACTACGGCCTACTCTTATTTCGAATTTAAACTTTCGGTGGTTCTTTTACGTGCACGCCAATGTGTAGACGGTAACTCGGTTTTTCGTCTCACCTGAACGACACTGTCCTTTGCAGGCCCTCCGTTCTGCACCACTAACAAGTGTAGACCGCGAAGGAAAGTCCGTTGAAATTTCGATTTCCCCAAAAGTCACAATGTGTGCGCTGTAGACATAAGAATTTAGATCTTATTTGTTTAAACATTTATATAATCATTCATAGTAAGCAGAGCAAGCAGCTAAAATTTCAAGAATTTTCTTTCTTTAACAACATTAAGTTTCATTAAACCTGTTAACTCATGAAAGCCGTGCTATAAATCACTTGTAACATTGACAACTGCTCAAGATGCTTATTGTTATTGCACCCCACTTCTCTATATGATTTCTACTAAATCGGGTGGTTATTTCCAAAGTATGGCAATTTTGGTATATATGGAAAGTAGAGATATCCAATCTTACTACAAAAATACTGGATTCCCCGAAAAACACTCATGGAGCGTATACAGGACAAAAATGTAAGGGTTCCCCTATTCAACAGCCCGACGATTAAGAATTTCTGCACGCGTGATGTCAAAGGTCACACGCGAACATTGAGCGCTTGATCTATAAGTTGATAAACTTTATGAAGAGTTAGACGTACAACACTTTCTGAGATAAAAATGACGGGAAAAGGCGCGGGTAGTGGATAATCCGAGAATTTAATTAGGATTCGATATTTGTAATAAATAGTAAGCGATTAAAGACAACATCGTCTTGTGTATGCAATGAATTCTCCTCTGATTTCCAAGACGTGACGTAAACATGACCTGGTTTGATCGAATATTAATAGCAGGGCATTTACAATGTTTGAGAAGGATTTGAAGCATAATTATGACAAATTGTTTAGTTTGAATATGTTTTTAGTCCATATATACCATTAAATCACCCGGTTTGTACGCGGGAACCCATCTTTAAGCTCCACCAAATCTACTAGAGGGAAAACAATCTGCTTATTCAACGAAAAGAACAAAGGAAGGTTTCCCATCCATGGTACAATGTTAGTTACAATGCCGAGCAATTCCGAGAGAATCGGGTCACAAAATATTGTCTTTTTAAAATCTTTGCATTTTGGATAATCATATTGGATGATCTAATTTATATAAAGCATCATTTTGTTGCTAATGCAGGCGGGTCTATGCATTTGCTCATCGACTAAAAGAATGTGTGAACAGGTCATATTTTCAAAGCTATGAGAAGAAGCATTCCATTTCAATAGCTGTCCTCATGTATGTCATTTGAAACATTCTACCCTCAGAAAACCGTATAGCCCGATGCTAACTCTTGTGTCATCATCGTTGAATTTGAAATGTGGCAGTTGTCACCAATTGCACTGGAATGTTTTTTTGTAAACGCCGTGAACAATGCAAGTCGAATACACTGGTACCTTGCTGCTGGGTTTTGGTACTTCACATTGGTTAGCGTTTTAACAATACCCGACCCATTAAGGGAGGGGTTCCAGATTTCGTGGGTTATCCGCTGATAGAAAAAGTAGAAGCAATCACCTTGTTTGCTGACAGGGAATATGTAACTCAATTAATCTCCATTTAAAATAATAGATAATAATACATTTAAAAGCATTAAACAATCGATATTATATATAGATTTTAATTAAAACAATCCTCAGAAGATCAAAAAAATTGTGATATGAGAATATTTTTCATATAAAATAATAAATTATAATACATATAAAAGCAATACATAGACAATAATTTAAATAATCTCGTGACGATCAGATCTACAAAATGCAATATTATATTATTATATAAGTAAAGACCGTGAAATGCAAATTGATTTGGCCCTACGCCAAGAAAGTTTTAAAGCAATTTACACCATTTAAAGCATAAACACCTTATCATGGTGTAGTCAAGCGAAAACAAGGTGACGTTGCGCCTTTCGTCTAAATATTCGGAATTTCGACTGAATTTATATCAATAACCGTCAAGAACTTGAACAAATAAATGGCAGTCGATCACCCGGGCGATTAATAAATGCAGTTTGTCCATTAACAGTGACGGTGTTTTTTGTTGTTTTGTTTTTTTCATAATTGCGGACTGGTTGACCATTACCATTATAAAATTATTTGTTTTCATTCAAGAATACTGATAAAAAAAAGTTATCAAAGATGAAATATAATCCAGTTTCTAAATGCTTTTGCTTCTCGGCTGTCGGAGGTTTCGCTAGTTTATTCTTTCATACGGACACTCATCTTCTGGTAGTCTTCGATATCCCGATGCCACTTCGTCCTTTGTTTTAACTCTTAACAATCTGAAAATCCAAATTACGGGTATATATTATAATGCAAACCAACTACATGTATTTGATATCCAAAGACCGAATCTTTACTTCTAGATGAGGACAGACCCTGGTTCGAACCGCATCGTGAAGTGACCTTGAAGTCGGTCAAGATTCTGTGCATTAAAACGATTTTTAATAATGTGGCAAAGCTAGTTTCATTTTGTTAGTATTGTTTTATTTATAGTCTGTAGACGCCTAAGTAGTCGAGACTAATAAACGCTATATTTAGATTTAGGTCACTGTTATTTATATTATAGTGAGAGACTGGATATTTGATAACTGGATGAGAGAGAGAGAGAAATGGGGTTTAACGTCCACTCGACACAAACTAGGTCATTTCGGGACTAACATATGTTTTTTTTAAATTTTATTTACATAATTCGCTTGCGCGTAGGGGTCTTTAGCAGTGGGAGGAAACCGGAGGACATGGAGAAAACCCACGAGGTTGGACAGGCGACCCTACTGTATGAATAGTGTGTTGACAGACTCTTTCTAAGTATAATAATATTGCTATCTGTCATATATTATGTTTAATTTTATAATTTAATAGAAACGCATGTCTTGTTATTTATCATACTATTATTGAATTTATATCCATATCCCAAGGTATATAGTGAATTTAAGCATTGCTGACAACTTTGCACAACCAGGAAAAAATACAACTTATATGTTTTCGTTTCCTGGCGCTGCAGTCTGTAAAAACTTTAAATTTAAAAAGTAATACAGGCTAATATATTTTGTTGGAAATGTGCTTATTGAGTATTATTATCTCCCTTTACTTCAAGATACATTATGGGAGATTAGATAAAGAGATGGCAGTTCTCGCTATAATAGTTAAAAACTAGATAGTGTAAAGGTAATTTGCTGAAAATTTCAGTCAAATTGATCCACTATGAGCCGAGAAAGAAGCCGGTGAAATTTTTGCATTGTCTCGGTTATCATTACTAAAATCTTTAATATAAACAGCATAGTCTCGATTATCCACTTTTTCTGATTTAATTATCTTTGGCCGTTAGCATATAGGAATCTAATCCAGCCTACATCGAAGGCTAGCCTTGACATCGAGAGTTTATTATGGTCTGGATAAGTTAATTAATGTCTAATTGATAATTTAGATAACATTTTAGGCCTAAAGAAAGAATTGCAATAAGCAGATTTTGCTCTTGCATAATGCATGTTTAAATAGCTGAATTTGAATATATAGCATGCAATTATAATTTATATACATATCCTATGACTTATTTAACGTTACTAAATTTTACTTTTGTATGTCAACTTTATCATAAATCACATTGTGTCCACCTGTTAAATAATGTTGAATTCCGCGTATAGTTTATAATTTTGCATGACCTATTGAATCTCAGAATTGATGCCATCCTGTCGAGACGGCCAAACGAACGTGTTATCCTGCACTAGAAACGAAACTATAGTTAATACACCAATAGTTCTTGAGAAATGCTCTCTGAGCGCACAGCCTTATTTAGGTGCTTGCATTTAATGAACCGTTACGCTTGCATTTAAGTAGTAGTTATTAGCACACTTTCCGAGGTGTATCGGTGAATATCAGGACAGTTTTGGTGGAGGGGCCCAGCCGAGACGGCTCCCGACCAAAACTGTCCTGATATTCACCGATACACCGAGGAAAGGTGCTAATAAGTTACTTACATCACATTTCTATCGAGTTTTGTGAAGCAAAATGTGAAAAATAATATTTATTATCGAGTCGTTTCAACCGAATAGTGACAAATACTTTCTGTTCATTCATTATTTATCCCTTTCTGAGCCTCACGTTACATTTCATGGTAGAATGATTTCGCAGTGGAGAGACGACATGAGTAGTATTCACACGTGCGTCTTGCTATGATACTCTGAGCGTAAAACAATCACGTGTTTGTTTAGACCACATCGTCAAAACAATGTCTATATGGCGTAGAGACTGCGATATTATTAAATGTATTGTAAAGGAAATGCGAAACGTGGGTCATTCCTGGTGAAAGTATGCATCGGCGGATGGTTCTTCCGTTGAAATTTATTTGTAATAAAGTTTATGACTTTATAGGCGTATTTTTTTCATCCTGCTTATTTTCAAAGCCTGTGAAGTGTCCAGCAAGAGAACTGCGCCTTCTATCATCACAATTAATTAAAATAATTATTCAATATTCTAATTTATATATTTTGCATATTAATATAAATCAAACCAAATTATGAAATAGATGCCAATTGGTATGTATAATAATTGATTTTTGTAATATGTTGTTATGTTAAGTTAATGTCATTGTATATGTTTTTGAACTGCCATGTAGTTCCCCCCATTTTGTTTTGTTACTATGATTTTGATTAGTTGTTTCATGTACATTGGTTAGAGCCTCGTTATCAATTGCGATCTGGGTCGGACTAAACGTCCGCTACTTATTGCTTGATAGATATCTAAAACGGTATAAAAGTATCCGTGTATCAGAAATGATCAGTACTCTTTCTGTACATTTCTGAAACACGGATACTTTTAAGCATGTATTGCAAATAAACAGGACAGTTTTATCAAAGGTTGCCAGTGGCAACGAGTAGAAGCGGGATGTAATGAACAGATACATCCTTTAACTTTAAGCTATTACACAGAACGGCTTGACCTGGGCCAGGTCATCTCTTTGTAAATAGCATAAAAAGAGTTTTCCCAGTTCATCAAAACTTACTGTATATATGTTTTAATGCATAATAAAACTTGATAGTTTTATACAGCTTTGTTCCGTTTGTTCGAACAGAGAGAGCCGAACATAGCACAACTACCTTTTAGCTAGCCCGGCCTCTTCTCTGAAGAGGCTCTACTTTAAACGGCCTGTGGTCGGCCGATAGATCACTACTGACAGAGAAATTACCGGGGTGTGGGTCCTGAGCAAGCACTGTAGCAGAATTCCCCACACTACCAAACCGCTACACCATTTCGTGGCCAAAAACAGAAAAAGAGTGCCACAATAACCTCATCGCTTTACACGTACCCCGTTATCCTCGACATAACAGACTCCCCCATTTTATAATCATATTATTACGCTTTACAGTGTCATAAAATTTGGACATTTGTCGTTTTAAGTACATAAACCATGGGGTAACTAACTATATTCAATTACCCCGCATTACATAAATATATAACGTCAAATATTTCAGAGAACAACTTACACTAAGAGGCCCAGCGTTACGATCATAAATACCGCCATACAGACAAAGATAAAACCTCTAAAAAAGGAAAAGGTTTTGGAATAAATGTAATCAGAAAGACTTCCTGCCACCGCTGCTGTTACTACTTCAACAGCTGCAAAACCAGCAAACAGGGCTCCTAGAATAGAAATTTCATGATAAATTTCTCAGTCAATCAAAGTCGATCCACTGCATTCATTCATTCATTCATTCATCCAATGTTCTTAACAAAATGGAATATGTTGAATGTAGGGTTCCTCAAATTCGAAATTAATGAATTCATTTACGAACTAGGCGAATCTGAATTCAAATTTCCTACTAGTATAGAGACACGCGCAAATAAAATCACCATGTGTTCTAAATTCTTACAATGCCGCGCACCTCATTTTGGATCTTTTAAGCCATATTTTGGGCATTTATTGATTTTCGAAATAATGCTCAATATATGTTAGTATTGCATATACAACTTAACAACAAATTCCTTATTGAGCTCCAAAGGAAATATATGTAGATTAAAATTTGCATGAACGTTTCCATCCACTCACAGTCAGCGATTCGTAATTTTGAATCAATTGTTTTTAAAACTGACCTTGTTCTTTCAATAAAACATGTCGAGATGAAAAAGATCTAATCATGGGTATGATCAATCTAATAAACACTCCTGCTCCTGTCGCTGTAATGAAACAAAAAAGAACACAATGAATGGTCTGCTTCTTGGTTTTGAGATCAGTTTTTGGGGATGATCCAACTATTTAAAAAGAATGGAAAGGATGTATTAATATTGGGAGATTTATGCTATCTATATGAATAATTACATTACCCGAATATAAGAATTTTATGACTTAGATATCAGTGCACCAACGGACATGTCTTGCTTAATAACATTAAGCATGAGTTTATTTGAAACACAGTTAATTTGTTTTCAATATACTGTGAGAAAAATAGGATCAGGTCTACAGCCAAACAGTCAAGGCTAGTTTGGTATTGTTCAAAACACTCGTGAGGGAAAGTTACCAATGACGTCATTAGGCATAAATAACCAATCACATAATTAATTACATACATTTGGCAAATTCAACAATTAATACTAATAGCAGAAATCTAGTCATATAAAACATAAGATTTATGCACGTCAGGGCAGATACGCGTCAGATTCTTTAGAGATCAGAGAAGCATTGGATTCTTTAGAGATCAGATGCCATGTAGATTATGTAGGAGAGACCGTTGAGGTTCAAGAGACACCATCTGGATTCAGAATACCTCGTTAATTCACAGGAGAGCCATGATGTAGTGGGATCCGTCAGTAACTCGCTTTGTGAGTTTAGTGGGGTTTTGAGATAGAATAAGAGACATGTTATTATTTGCGGGGGTAGTCTATGCATGTAACTCGTGTATCTTGTGCTTTACGAAAAATGTTGAAACGAACTGTGTGCAGTTGTTCCTCATGAGTGATAAACAAACGTGAGAAGGTCTAGCAACTAGAGTAAATTAATATCTGAGCCAGAGACAAATCTAGACGATCACCGGCAAAGAAGATGTGTAGCAAGAGATTATATCGGACGTCAAATGTGGTAAACGATTTGGTGGCACTGCTTCCGACAACGTATATTGCTACAAGGATCAGCCATTATTAAATCACACATATGTATCGGTTTATACCGATTTTTAATAGGAAGTAAGAAATATAAATAGTTAACCAGACAGTCGTTAATAAAAGCTCTTGATACAAAACTTTAATTAATCTTGTATTATTCACAGTTTAATTATCAATATCAATGACTTACCTGCATAGGCAAACGTGTCTGTTGAAGCAAACGAGAAAATGAAGAGCGAGGCAATAGAGGAGATACAGCCAACGATGCCCAATGATAAGTCCTGTAAATTGAAGAGTGTTTGTAATAACTTGGAGACAACTAAAATCGCAAACCAGCAGACTATTAATCCAGCGGACACGTAAAGAGTTAATTTGACCTCACCCCAACAGAACGGGGCATACATTAAAACCATCTGCTGGATATTGGATTTGGTAAAGTTTACAGATACAGTTAGAATAAAACAGACGAGCGCGGCCACCATCATCCATCTTCTTTCCTTGAAGTACTTACTCTTCATATACACGGAACAGCAACGTAGAAACAAACCCGGGGAGCACGTTAATCCCGAAGTTATCTCCAAGGTTTCTGGAACAACGGTCAGCACCAGACACAGAAGACAGACACTTGCTGCAGCAGACAGAATCATGGGGTTTCTGAAGTCGTGGTTTTGAATCCAGAATCCTGTTGTAACTATAGCTACCGATGTGGTGACGGCTTGTAAAGCTTCTATAACTGCTATACGATACGTTCTCACCTTTCCTGGGGGCGTTATGTCTGCTATGATCCCGAAACACGAAAGTAACATCACTGCATATCCACCAGAGATGTTTTCAATTCCGCAACCAATCAAAAGATAATACATACTTAAATCGAGACTTATAAATAGGTAAAAGAAGATGGCTTTACCTAATATACCTATCGTTGGTATCAAAATGCCCACTTTTCTTCCGACTTTGTCCACGATGGGTCCAAAGAATATTGCAGGGATGATTCCAATGACGTTAACTACTTTATTATACATCATAAATTGCGTCATTTCATCTTGCTCTCCTTTTGTGTCGTTCGAAACTGACGTGTGGTTTCCGAATAGTTCACAGGTGTAATTTTTACCATGTCGCTGAGTCTGGAGACGACTGTGAGCGTAGAACACGTTAATAGGAATAGCAATCCCATGAGCGACAAAAAACAAGAACACAACAGTTTCAATGACAAGGCATCTCAGACGGCCAACATTCCTTTCCGATTGATTATGCAGTCCATCGTCAGATGTGTGTCTAAGTAGTGACCTGTATTCGCTACCAACGTCCGTAGCCATCTTTTTATGGAAAAAGTAGACCGACGAGTTACGTCAATTTTTTCTTAATTGATGATCTTTTCGTGACCTGTAAAAATAAACATTTATTTGTATAGTTTACACTGTAAATTCCTCTATTCTTATGAATCCAACAGCTATGAAATTGAAAAGCCCACCAAAGGTGACGTTTAATACAAATGCAACATGAAATTAAAAGCAGTCATAATTAATACAGCGGTGACATAGTATGAAAAACTAGTAAGATGATATTATGAAAAATTAGCGTGTGCTAAATTGAAAACCGTAGAGGATTCACTACAATTTAGCTTTCTGCCATAGTGGGTGTCTGAAAGATTCCACCAACGGAAAAGACAGCGATGTTCGTAACAAGAAAAAACGTATCCCGGGCAATTAATTATTTAAAGACACAAACAGTTCTAGTATCTTTTATTCGAAAAAATTACCGGACATTTTAAAAAAAAGAGAAATGTCTTGGTCATGAGCATGACACAACCCGGACTATATGTTATTCAGAAACCAGCGGCTGCCAGGCAGGATAAGCCCACATTTTCGAGAGATTGATAGAGAACAAGCTAAAAACGCGATTTTTCGTACAATCGGGGGCCATAATTCAGGAAGTTAAGGTCGGATAATCGCGAATATCGAAATGAACCACGATCTTTGGGTTATAAACTTACATTTCAAGTTTCAACAAAATCGGATAAAAATTGTGACCTCTATAGGGTCCACAACCTTGATATACCATATTTTTACGCTATTTGAGAACGAGGGGCGGCAATTTTGTCTGTCAGTTTTGGGCCGATTTTCACGAAATTCGAACTCAGCTGTCCTTAGGGTGTAACGGTGGTATAATAATACGTTTTTTTTAAAAATCGGATAAAAATGATGACCTCTATAGGGTCCACAAGCTAAAAACGCAATTTTTCGTACAATCAGGAGACATAATTCAGGAAGTTACGGTACGATATGCGCGAATATCAAAAGGAACCGAGATCTTTGGGTTATAAACTTACATTTCAAGTTTCAACAAAATCTGATAAAAATTGAGACCTCTATAGGGTCCACAACCTTGATATACCATATTTTGACGCTATTTGAGAACGAACGTCGGCCATTTTGTCTGTCAGTTTTGGGCCGATTTTCACGAAATTCGAACTCAGCCGACCTTAGGGTGTAACGGTGATATAATAATCCGTTTTTTAAAATCGGATAAAAATTATGATCTCTATAGGGTCCACAAGCTAAAAACACGATTTTTCATACAATCAGGGGCCATAATTCAGGAAGTTACTTTCCGGTATGCGCGAATACCGAAAGGAACCGAGATCTTTGGGTTATAAGCATACATTTCAAGTTTAAACCAAATAGGATAAAAATTGTGACCTCTACAGTGTTCACAAGCTAAAAACGTGATTTTTCGTACAATCAGGGGCCATAATCCATGAAGTTACAGTCCGATACATGCCAATATCGAAACGAACCAAGATCTTAGGGTGATAAAGCTATATTTCAAGTTTCATTGAAATCGGATAAAAATTGTGACCTGTAGACTGTTCACAAACAATTGAGGACGGACGGACGGACGAACGGACAGGGGCGACGACAATATACGTCCACATAAAAATGTGGGCGTATAAAAAAAAAACTTAACTCTTATCATTAAAATCTGCTCAGTTTTATTCACACCTCAAATGTCAAACGTTTCCAGATTTGCGTGCAAATAAATAATTTATCATTATCTGGATTGTTTTGAAAACAGGATGCTCTCGGTGCAATTCGTCATGTCCTAATTTATACGTATTGGTTTTCACGATTATTGCACCAGCTATTTACTTCCTTGTTGCTTTTGTAACACATCCCCAAAATCATGAAGCCTACTGTTAGTAGATACAGTTTTAAGGAATACCCGGTCATTTTTTTCAGGAAAAACCTCCCCTAACAATTACATGACGGAACTTATTATTTCAACGGGAAAATTGAACTTTGTTCCGGGTTTTGTTACGGTAGTAACGGATCATATTTGGGAGTAGCAGATCACGCTCCCTTGTTTTGAATACTCGTTTTAACTAACATGTTATTTAGATCATTATTCTAGGGAGAATGGATTTGAGTTTAAGGTGAGCTGGAAAATCCACCGGGTCAATATTAAATGTCACAAACAGAATTAATATCCATACATAAACAAAAATATTTTTTAAAGGGACTATACTTGATATTTCAGACCAAAAATCGGCAAAAACAAATTAAACAAGTTTCTTTATTTTTCTAGCATCGCCTAAGTTATACACTTTCATAGAATGTCAATCGTTTCCATATGCAATGTACCATAGTAATTTACTATTTGCCTTATATTTCGACCCTGTTAAAGAAAATTAATGTATGCACGGAACAGAAGATGCGTTGTGGCTCTTCATGTTCAGTTCCTGGGCCGCAGCACCTAAACATTTTTAATGATATGGGCTACACAATATATTCATCAGCGTGTCGTACCTTTGTTCATCTAGGAACTATATAAATTTGGAACTAGTTTCGCAATCTGTGAATATGTTTTGTTACCTTTTTGATTTGGTTTTGTTACTTTTAAAATGTATCGACACGCAAATCATAAATTCAGCACAGGGTTTTTACTCTGGACCATTAAATAAAATTGCCATTCACGATGTATAGCCTACGGGTATTCGGATACAATCCTTTGCGGTTTTATTCTTCAGAGACATTGTGGATATGAATATTGTACTAGTACAATTCTTGTATAGTTTCTCGAATGCTCGTGGATGAATAAATTAAAACAGGGGTCTTGTTGATTGTTAATATTTCTATATTCATCGGTTAACAAATAATCCAGGGGATCACGTGGCTAAGTGGGTAAGACGCTGGCTCGCTATCCTGCGGGTCGGGAGTTCGATCCCTGCATTGGCCGAGAAAGTTCATCCAGATTTACCGGCGTGGTTTTCCCCTTGTCAGTGATGCAGGACGGAGGGCCTGACAAGGACAGCAGTCTAGTCGTTCGGATGGGACGAAAAATCGAGGCCCCGTGTACACATTGGCGTGCACGTAAAAGATCCCTTGGCAGTTGGATTTCGATATAAGAGTATAGGCCGTAGCGCCGCTGCCCGGGCAAAATTTCCCTCATAGCACACTGTATGGCGTATGCCCGTCTTCATTAGCCCAGTTTAGGAGCAGTCATTTCATTTCAGACTGATAGTTCTCTGACCTGACTGAGTCATTTGAGTCTATATATCACTATGCGTTACCTATGGCATTAATCCCATAATCTAAACAATATGATAACTAAAACGGTTTAGCTTGTAGACCTTAATTATTATTTATAAGATATGAAAAGTGTAAAACAAAGAATACTGGAGAAAAAATGAAATACAATAAGATACAATACATTGGGGTAATTAAGGTGAGTTAGAATCAACACTATACGTATTAGCACGACATATTAAATATTTACTATTGGGCCGAATTTATGAATTGTGAGAAAAATAAATATTTAGAATTAACTGAACTTCGCTCTACTACAATATGTTTGATTGGCTTTTGTATGGTGGCTGTTTGGTATCATGTCGTAATGTCGTGATGTCGCCTTTCATAACGCGACAACCCGACATCACGACATTTCTACCCGACAACACGACAACCCGACACCACGACATTTTTACTCGACATCACGACAATTTTACCCGACATTACAACACTAAAAATGTCGTAATGTCGGGTAAAAATGTCGTGATGTCGGGTAAAAATGTCGTGGTGTAGGGTTGTCATGTTGTCGTGATGTCGGGTTGTCGTGATGTCGGGTTGTCGCGTTATATCTTGACCATGTTGTACATCTCTATATTCGTTTAAAAAACAACCTAAAACACATTTATTTAATCATGTTAACAATCGTTAACATGTTCATAATCTTGTTGTTTATTTATGATTTTCCTAAGGCTAAGCAGAGATAAGCAATTTGATTGGTCGATGTTTTGGGACACAATAACCTTGATTCTAGCTAATTCTGAGTTTGATCATGAGAGAGAGAGAGAGAGAGAGAGGTTTAACGTCCACTCGACACAAACTAGGTCATTTCGGGACTAACATATGGTTCAATTTTATTTCAATAATTCGCTCGCGCGTAGGGGTCTTCAGCAGTCGGAGGAAACCGGGGGACCCGGGGAAAATCCACGAGGTTAGACAGACGACCCTACTCTTTGTCATGTACAAGCTTGGGCTGGAAACTACACCACTTAACTCAATGACAGACACACAGACAAGGGCGGCTTCATAATATGTTCACATTATGAAATGAAATAGGGTTTAACGTCCTACTTCTGCTCCGACTGAGCTAATGAAGACGGTTCACATTATGAATGTGGACGTATACAAATGGATACGAATGCAACTCAAACTGCACTGTGAGTGTCATAGGCGTACGTGGCCGAACTTGTTTGGGGGGCCAGCATATTTTCCCGACGGGGGGTCTGGGGGGCCTCCCCCATAAAATTTTGAAAACCAGACGGCCGTAGACGCGATTTCCAGGCATTTCGAATACTTTCTAGTAATTTGGAGTGGGTAGTAAATTTTGTCAGTTGCAGCATAAAAACTGGTAAAAGTCATCTTTAAAATACAAGCTCTATTACTACGAAAACAAAGAACAAGTCGAACGATTTACTTTTGCCACATTTTTCATTTTATGAGACTTCACATTTTTTTATCAGGGAAGGCATAAACAGAGAGTTTATACTGCTTTTCAGATCACTTCTATCACTGGGCTCGTCCGGTGCATGGAGTTGGATGCCAGTATACAGGAACACAGTCAAGAACTGAGAAAGGCCATGTGTACGTGCTAGTTCTATTCAGATGGCGTACGTGTTCATCATTGACTGGACTGCTTTCTTTCCGCTTCCATATTATTAAAAATATTCAAAACCCGACAGACGGCGCGACGCTTCCCGACAAACTGAGCATTCATTCCCGACAAGACCATAGCCTTCCCCGACAAGGCCATACCCCTACCCCCACCCCATTTTCAACAACTCCTCGTCTAATGACCGATCTCACAAGATCTCACAATTCTGAGCTCTTTTCAGATTTCTATTTTTTTTCATGAAAATATTTGCCCCCCCCCCCCCACCTCGTACGCCTATGGTGAGTGTGAATCAACTTCCACTTGATCAACCATTTTGCCAGTTTTTTGTTATGAATATCATCGTGGCCGCTTATAACATTGATCATGGAAGTCGACAACTCGACAACCCGACATCACGACAACCCGACAACCCGACACCACGACATTTTTACCCGACATCACGACATTTTTACCCGACATTACGACTTTTTTAGTGTCGTAATGTCGGGTAAAAATGTCGTGATGTCGGGTAAAAATGTCGTGATGTCGGGTTGTCGCGTTATGAAAGGCGACATCACGACATTACGGCATGATACCAATCAGCCACCATACTTTTGGGTTGAGTTAAATGTGTTTTTTTGTTGTTTATCGTGTATGCTGATAGCATAAGTGAGAACTCGAGTGGAACACCTTTGTAGACGGAAATATATATAGTCAAATCACTTCAAAATGAAATACGCATACACGCATGCAAAAAGGGACACATAGCCTATGGCTATGCCAATTCACTAATCCAGCTGGAAGATATAATTATATGCAAATAGAGATATATTTAAGAATAGAGAACGGGAAAATGTAGACTCAACGCCTACGACATTAACCTACATGGGTGACATCTTTGCAAGTATATTATGGAAAAGATGATTGTTTAGTTCGCTATTCTTTTGCTTTTCATACATGGGTGATATATCTTTATTTATTCTTTTTATTTTTTTGTGCGGGGGTTGGGGGGGGGGGGGGTATTTTGTGAATCCATGAAATTACAGCCCATATACAGTACATTCAAAAGTATGAAATTATAGCCCATATTACAGTACATGCAAAAGTATATTTCATTAAGATATAAATACAGTAATATGAATTGTTTCTAAATAAATAATTTATTGTATTAGTACTTAACATTTCTTTACTTTAAAATATAAATAGAGATATTTGAAATCTTTTAAATAAATTATTTAGAGTATAGGTACGTTGTTTCACCCATGTCTTAAACCGGCTCTGATTGTATCTGACAGTGCTTTTGTCCTAAGTAGGCTAGGCTAATTAATTATTACGAAACATTGTTTTTTCGGTTAAAGAAATATTCGATGAACAAGTAAAGCATATTACTTACCAAATTAAGACATAAAAGACAAGCTACTGCCTGTACTACAATCAACATTCATTGTTTCATGCACTTTCTTTCAAAATGTGGGCTTTTCCACGAACAGGAAGTTTTCGCGTAATCTTTCCCGTGAATCACAATAGTTATGTAAAGAAATGACATCACCGTTGTGGCTTTTAAATTACAGAGCTGTCGGTAACATTGCGATATAGTTCAATGGAATCTACTAAAACCCATTTACTTCAGTTCCCTTTTTCTGAAATACAAGTTCATTTAAAGTGCATTCAGTATAAATGCTTTATGTATATACATGTAGCCTACATTATAATAGATTGAGTTAACAGTCAAATCTTTAATTAAAATAACACTGGTTATTTTTCTGTGGTTATAATATTCATGTGCAATGTTTGATAGTGGTGCACGCCATTATACTAAAGTGAATTAAACCTCCAATAAAGGATTGGGTATACTTTTCAAACATAAAGATTTTGCAAATTGAGTTTTCGAGGCGGTGCAAATGTTTCTGCATTGAGTTAGCTCCCCTGAACCTACGCTGGGGGTGGAAATTTTGTTGAAAATCCCCAGGCCATCCCAATGTATATTATTAGCGTGGGTTATCAGAGACGATAATATATCGAGTACTTATAGATTTTTTGCCAAATCGGCGCCATTCTAGTAAATAGCAGGTCGTTTCGGCTTTTGAACTAATAAGGAACGAAATCGAAACGAAAACATCTGATTGGTGTTGGGACGTATAATAACTTTTAATAAGGTTGAGACCTATATCACCCGACCTATAAATAAATAATACTTCATATTTATAGACATATCTACGCAATAATACATGATGCATGATGTATGTGGGGGTAGGTAGTACGTTCGAGAGGATTTTCTACATTTTCGTGTGGAATAACTATTTGCAGTATATATCCATGGTTGTAAGTACCAAAATATTCATAGAATAGAAATTCAGGAGCGAAAGATAATGAAATTAACAGTGACGGCAAATTATTTGCCGACTATAAATTATGGTGTCTATTTCAGTCACTTCCCGTATCGTCTTTTTAAAAAAGCGACGTCGACTTTTTAACACGATGCTTTATTAAAACTGTATTGTATTTATAGATTCCCTTAATAAGGAGACTTCATTATTTTGCATTTTTAAATGTAAATACAACTAGAACTGCGAAGTATTAATGACGGGTTTCACCGGTGCCACGTTACCCTTGAACTTATGTCACTCCCGGTGCCACGTTATCCTTGAACTTATGTCACTTCCAGTATCAATGAAAGCGTTAAGCAGATTTCCACATAAGCATTGCACAAATAGATGCAGAATCAACCAAATCTAGCAATATCAATTGCATCTATACATTTGTTACCATGTGTTAAATATGTCAAAAAAGTGATCCTGACAAAATTTGTTACTAACTTACCGATAAGTTAGCTAATTTTCTAATGGGAAATTAAAATGGGAAAAAATCTCTTAAAAATGCACATGCAAGTTTTGATTGTTTTTCATTTTGAATTATTAGATGATATTTATATCCTGATATAATGTTTTTCTCGGAAATTTTAAAAAGGTTAGCCTACGTGTTCGGATAGGGTGTTTTGCTTTTTTGCTTCAATGTTAAGCTATATAGAACATAGGGGTTTGGTGTTCAACTTTTCTGCACCAACAAGGCGATTGATAGTGGGGCACCCTAAGAAAAGCTATATGTTGACACATTTATGATGGCCAGTAAATTATCTAATAAGTTCAAATACAGTTAAGGATGTTGACATATCTTATCTATAAGATTTTTTGTTGAGAGATATGCTCTTTTATTTTTTACCACAACCAGTGGCATAGCTAGGTTTTCTGTGTAGGTGGGGGAGGCATGGTTGCCAAACCCAAACCCCCCCCCCTCCCAACCACACACACACACACAATTCTCTCTCTCTCTCTCTCTCTCTCTCTCTCTCTCATTTGCGATTGCTCCGAATTTCAAATCTTTTGCAAGGTAGCATGCCCCCTAACCCCACTTCTTCGCAAATTTCTGGCTATGGCACTGAACAACCGATTTCTCACAATGTGACAGCATAAATTGCTGAAAAAGAAGTCCAATTGTGTGAAATGTTGTTGACAGTTGAATACTTATCTAGGTCAATTTTATATCATGTCTTTTACCAGGAAGTTGAGACACTGTTCTAGAAAGTTAAATGACTCGAAAACCGCTTGATTAATAAATCCCTGATTCATTAGTTTTGCTATAAAATAAGATCACAAAACGTGCTTGATATTTACAATCTAAAATTGTGAAATTCAATATGATTTATATGATTTTTCTTATATCACAAATAGCAATCTCAGAGAATTTTTAAAAATTCTGTACAGAACTGTGTCTTGTATCGTGTTCACAAGATATCATAAATCTGAAAATAAACGTGGGGGTAAATGCAAAATCTACCATCTAAATATTCTGAATTCCAATGGGGTTCGACATTCTGCCGTTATGAACAATCCAACCAAGTTTTAATAAATTCCATTCAGAATAGTCAACCATAACACCACAAAACACAATGGAAATTTACAATTAGTAAATTGACAACCAACTTAGGTGACATCAATATAAATCCACACTGTATGTCGGAAGATAAAAAAAAAAGCAAACATACAAAACAGGTGATTGTAAGGGAGATAACACAGTATTAATCTTTACAGAATCAGACATGCATTTATTTACAGGCCATACTTACGGCCCAGCTAAGTAAAATTTTGAACGATGTTGATTGTCTCAATCTTTCAATACATGAAGCCAACTGCGTATATTATTATATTTAATAAAAAAGTCCAATTTCACAAAGAATCACTAACTCATCTGTGTATACCACCTCATAACTATTCATGAAAACTTTTGAAGAAAATGTCAATTCTGTTAAGAGCAAAGAGTATGCAAAATAAAAAAAAAATGTTAGAAATCTATGATAAAATATAAGGAGAAGTTATTATTAGTCCTGATGTTGTTCAATATTGACCGTTCTTATAACGGAGGATCCTAACTGTCTTTTCATTCCTACATCCAATATTCTGAAAAGTAAAAAGATAAATTCATATGTACCATATATATGTACCATAACAGTAAGTGATTCAATAATTCAAAGTAATAATAATTCAAGTAATTAAGGCCATGCAAAATACAAAAAAAACATTCTGAATCTCAGACAATTCTTTCAAAAAATCTGAAGCGACCCTGAGTTTTTTATTTTCGCATTTTTATTTTTGTCAAAGAATCTCTACTGAGCACTATATATTTATGTCATCATGCTGTTTATAGGAATGTAGTTTTATCCAGTGATTGCCAGTTACATTTATCAGGGTTGTATAATTTTGATATAGCATTCCTACCTGTAAACGGGGGAAAAATATTTACATCAGGTAATTAATGAGATTGTTTATAATTTTTTAAATGAAGTGATGCATGAGTATCTGAAAACCAAAATTTTTTTGTACGGCCTAATAGCTGATTGAAATGATAAATTGATTGCATAATTCAGAGAATTAATAATTTGCATATGGCTTGGAATAATAAATTGTATAATAATTGACTGAATTAAGTTAGAGACACAAATCAGAGAGAGAGAGAAATGGGGTTTAACGTCCACTTGACACACAAATCAGTTATAAAGAGTAAATATCATTCTCACAAAAATTAACAAGCACTTACATTAACAGGATTAGAACAAATCCAACAAGAATGGCCATACATAAGAAAACAAAACCACTAAAGAAATCTAGAGTTAAATTGTAAACTATAGTAGCCACTAATCCCATTATAGCTGTACAGGTCAATTCTATCACTCCAACACTAGCAAACAATATACCTGGAAAATACAAACACAAAGACAGGCTGCCAGGCAACAAAACATCTACCCACAGCAAGCACATAAAAACCTGACATTTCCATAATTTTTCGTGAAATAAAATTTAATCAAATGAGATTAAATATCCTTCTTCCCCCCCCCCCCCAAACTAGGCTAATAAAAGCAGGCATACACCATGTAAGTGCAATGTGTTTTGAGGGAAATTTTGCCTAATCATTGAAGAATGGACCTCAGTTTTTCATTCCACCCAAATAATTAGATGTTTTTCCTTCCCAGACTCTCTGTCTTGCATCACTGAGATGATGGGGAGACTGAGGAAGTTTGTCTGACAGCACCAGGATCAAACCTAAGACTTCTTGGTTAGTGAGTCAGCATAATATTCACCAAGTCACAATTGCTCCAAATCTTTGATGAATAGTTTTACGTATATTAATCTCTTACCTTGTTCATCAGCTGATACTTGATGTGACATCATAGAACGTAAAACTGGTGTTGTTACATCTGCCAATATACCTACTGCACTGGCTGTATAGAACAAAAATTGATGTTATTTAAAAAGAAACATTTCCATTCATATACAACTAGATTCCTTTTTTAACAGTTAGACATTTTTACTTGGATGTAAGTTAGCTTGATAAAAGTGTTGTCTTTCACGAAAGTTGAGTTTACTTTAGTGTTCAGACAGTTATGGGATTCGGACATTCGGTGCCTGTATGTTAATAAAGATGATGATCAATATTTGTGAAAACTGATTAAGAACTCAAATCTGTAGCAGGTCTAAGCAGGCCTACTTTCGTTAAAAACTTAAAATTGATCCCGATACTAATTATTCTTGAAAATTTGATCAAAGTTACCGTTAGTTCAGTCTAGACTCCTAGACATAGAGTGAGTTCATGGATGGATGAATGGATAGACATGGCTGACCAGAATATACCACCACTTTATACCAAAAATAACAAAACTACTTACATGCATATATGTAAACATCTTTCGTGGCCAGACCCCACAATATTAACGAACCAGTATTGGATATACAGCCTAGTATTCCTGGCATTCTTTCAGATATTCGATGTCCAAAACATTTCAAAAATCCTAATATGATCACCCAATTCACTAGAACTTGCACAGCACTGACTAGGTTGATTTTTGTCTGCTGCCAACAAAAAGGTTTATTCAACAAAAATAATGTCATTAACAACATTTTTGAAAGACCAACGGATATTATGACAAAGAATGAGATCATACAAATCCACAATTTCCATCTTCGACGATTTGCTGTATCCTTTGTATAAAGTTGGACACATCTTTTCAACGTAGCTAGGTTAAATGGAACCCTGTTGTGAGGTTTTAGAGTTTCTGGAATGCAAAATGATGTAAATAGGAATGCCATAACAAGTAACATAGTAGAAAACAACATCGGCACAAAAAATCCTGCTATTGGAATCCAGAATCCTGCTATCAAAAGAGCAGTCGCAGATGATGTGGCTAACATGGCCTCCAATGCAGTGATTCTTATTGCACGACTTTTGCCCGGTTGGGTGATATCAGCTATAAGGCTAAACATAGCCATCAGACAAGTCCCATAACTCCCAGTTGCTCCTTCAATACAGTTACCAATAAATAAATAGTTTATATTCAGCTTCAAATGAATTACAACTGCATAAACAACAGCCCGTATTAAACTTCCACTTAAAGCTATAAGTAACACCAACTTGCGGCCATATCTATCTGATAATCCTCCCATAAATAATGTCGGAAGAATTGCAGGAAAGGCAGTAGCACAAGTTAAATACAACAGCATGTGGGTTGTTTCCTTTTGTATTTTTCTCTCAATATGACTGGCTGTAGAGTTACGTATCTTTGGGATATCTTCACATGGATGCATGCCACTTATATTTACTGCTGAATATTTTTCCGCAATTTTATCGAAAAGGAAATATTGTGTGATGGAGACACTGGTCACTATCGATAAAAAATATAAGAAAACAACAACCTCTATCAGAACATATTGTCGTATACCCTGACATGACCATAAATCAATTCTGAAAGCAACTAATGTTCCTGATTCTTGTAAAGATTGATTCTGTTGGTCGATTAAAGGGGTGTTTTCATCTGAATCTTCTTTAATTGATGAACCAGCCCAGTCTATTTCCTCAGGACCTTCATATTTCTTAATCTTCTCCATGATATTGATTCCCTGAAATTAAAAAGAGTATAAATACTACACAAAATGGTTTGTTTGCTAAATATTCTAAACTCATTAGAAGCTAAATATCAAATAGAAAAGGCAGGAAAATATTGAAACAAAATCTAGACAAAGAAAACAATACATCTAAGCTTATCACCTTGTCCATATGTCCATGTAGTAATCCATTTTCTGTCAATTAAATAGAATGAGTTACAACCAGTGGCGTAGTGAAGGGGGCGACAGTGGCAACAGCCCCAAACGTCCCCATCCCCATATCCCCCCTCCCCATAAAAGTCTCAGTATATTACATATTATGAGTTGCTATCATCATTCTTCCACTCTGCTCTGGTCGGTCTTATAATAACTCTCACAAAACAGATTGAATTGACAGGCAGATCTCTAGACCCCATTCCTCCCCCACAGCCCTCAGGTTGCTCGCACCTACAGTGCTCACATGATGCCTTCTTCAACCCGACCAGCCCCTTACAAAAATCCTGATTACAACATGTTTAGATTGAAGATTATTCCTTTCAAAATTAAATTAAATTGGGAGGAAAAGCACAACTCTTAATATTTTAAATTTGTAGAACATCTACTATTCTACTTATGTATAAATTTGTATTTAATAAGTCACAGTTCCTAATTGTGAATTTTTCAGAAAATTTCTAACTTTTCACAGTTTAATCAACCCTAAAATGTACTCAAATTTATTACTGCTGCTTAATATTTAATAAGAAAACAACAGGATTCAAGAGGAACATCAAAAGATTTCAACCAACTTCTAATTGTTGATGTCTTTTGTATTGTCTGTAATTTTCAATTCATCTTAATTTTGCAAATACTGAACAGAACTGAACCATTTTTGGGCATATATTTTCAGTTTAGAAAATGATCTTTCATACTATTGTAGTTTGCCAGGGATTCAAGGCTTGCACAAATTATATAAAAACTAGATAATAGGAACTCACCTAGCTAGCTAAGGCTAAAATATAACATCACATACAACCATTAACCAGAAAAGCTAACATCTGAATAAATCACAAATATAATCAGTGTCCAAGTTATTCAACCATGTAAATTTCTATCAATTAATAATGCTTGTTTATTAATATAGGTGAACATAGTCCATGGCAATAATAAGTAAGGATATGAATGTTAGCACAATACATGTTAGATTTTGCTTATCACAGGAGCTGAGTTAAATATAGCTTACAGGTTAACCAAAGTTCAAACAAATTATGAATTTTTCACCCCAAAAGTAATTATCAATCTTCATATAATTTTGTGGAAAAATCCATGATTTGAAAATTAACAGTGTTTTGTAGGTTTTTTAGTTTCAATAAAGTCTCAAGGTTAAATGTACCATCTTGGCCTATTTAAATGTAGTGAATTTCAAGTCCCTTGTCTGAAAAAACTCATATCCAGTGTTTTTATTCTATAATATAAAGTTCTTGTCTAAACTAGTAGGGCCTAGGCTTTGGCTACAAGACAATTAAACTGCTTACAAATGCATTTTATAGATAGCCTACCTGTAATTTAAATGACCACCAGGCGAAAAAAATAATAATTACACTATCTGTGTCCGGAATCTTTTTCAGTCTTACTTAAGATCGTCCAAAGCCAACAAAAAATCCATCACCGTTGGAACAGTCAAGATTAGTTTGGGAAAGTGTGGTAGGTCTTGTTACAGTGTTAGAAGAACTGTAAAGGTGGATAAATAAATGTGGAACAGAGACATAATTGGAAGGTAAATACAGAAATAAGAAAAGAACTGAAAGGCCTTAAGACAACATAGTTTGAACATAATGATAATATTTAAAAAGTGTTAATCTCAGGAAGAGTAAGATTGGAGTGGAGACACATAGTGAAATATAAATTGACTAAAGATAGGAGTTTGCACCTGCCCTTTGTATAGCCGTGCCTCGAAAATGTTATCAATTCAGTGTAGGCTAGGGCGTAGGATCACCGACTGCTGAAATTTGGAAAATGGGACTTTATTGGCTATATAAAAAATGATGTGGCCTACAAGTTAACTCCCATCTTAAATACAACACCGAACAACATTGAAAATTTAGACAATTTTCTCTCCAAAAATGGAGACGAAACGGCGTCAACTTTTAATGTAGTTATTCCCCTTATATCGCAGAAATGTGTTAGTGCGTGTCGATGGGATACAAAATAAAAACTTTCATTGACAGTAGAAAAAAATAATCTTCTCTTGCTATAGAACGATCTCCAATCAATAAAAACAGAAAGGTGGATGACGCCTATATTTTTTTCGTTGTAAAATCTTTTCAAAATATGTTTTTAAAATACGTTATGTACATCATCAAGGTAGTTATTATTTTATTAACTTGTAGAGGCTTATCACCCTAAAAATAAATCAAATAAATTTTGAACAAAACTGTTTTTGAAATTGCTATAATATACCTATCATTGAATATCCTAGCCCTGTCCAACAAACTTTGGGTCGAACTACTATTGTATGAATGCAAGCGTTCATTAAACTCCAAAGGAAATTTATACTCAGATGTGAAGGACCCAAAAATTACTTGTCAAAACTCCTATTGCTCAGTTTGATCACTGTCACCATGAACATAATTGAACCAAACCGTTTTTAAAAATACTATTGATTCAAGGGCAGATCCAGGGACCATGGATATAGAAGACGCCCAGGGGAGACCCCGAACGCAGCTAGAAGTCCGGAAATGCCATTTCTAGTGATCTGATACAAGGACCTGGTAATAAACTAATGAATTATAATGGGACTTTTTCAGTCAGCAATCCAGATAGAGAGGGCGTGCGCGGGTGCACCCCCTACTAGATCCGCCCTTGTGATTGTTAAAACAGTTATGCCTCTGCAGTGGATTGACCCCTGTGTTTCAAATTCGAACCATAGGCCTACACTGGTTGGAAATAGTTGACGTTTTTTGGTCATTAAAGTTAAATAAAATGTTATATACTTGCTACAACAACTGTTCCAGATGAACGCGATACGAACACCTCTAAGGTGCCCGCCCGTGTAGGCAAATGGAAATAATTTTTCTCCAAAGCACTAGCGCCTGCCTAAATTTGAGGGGGGGGGGGGGGATTGGAGAGCAAAGCTTTCTACAACCCAGATGGACAATTTGCAGATAGAGCAATTTTTTCATGTCTTCACTACAATAGGTGTGTATTTGCACTTCAGTGAGATTACATTATTATATTGTCTTCATCACTTCATTTATCAGTTCTGTATTCATTTTGCACAGTTCTTTTTACAAACTGTACAAAGAATAATGGGAGAAAAGGTGTGAAAAAAATTAACGAATGTACAATCAGCTGCAAAAGATTTTCTTTTTATACGCCCACGTTTTGCATGTGGATGTATATTGCCGTCGCCCCTGTCCATCCAGACAATTGTTTGTGGACACTCTACAGGTCACAATTCTTATCTGATTTTGACGGAAATTGAAATTTAGGTTTATCTCCAAAATATTGGCATGTATCAGACCAAACTTCATGGATTATGGCCCCTGATTGCATGAAAAATCACATTTTTAGCTTGTGGACCCTATAGAGGTCACAATTTTAATCCTATTTTGATGAAACTTGAGATGTAAGTTTATAACCCAGAGAATTTGGTTCCTTTCGATATGCACGAATATCGAAAGGAACTGAGATCTTTGGGATATAAACTTAACATTTCAAGTTTCAACAAAATCGGATATAAACGTGATTTTTCGTACAATCAGGGGCCATAATCCATGAATTTTCGATCCGATACATGCCAATATCGAAAGCAACCGAGATCTTTTGGAGATAAACCTATATTTCAAGTTTCGTCAAAATTGGATAAGAATTGTGACCTGAGAGTGTCCACAAACAAATGACGGACGGACAGGGGCGACGACAATATATGTCCACATGAAAATGTGGGCGTATAGAATCATGTTCATAACTTTTTAGTGGGGTAGGGTCCCCACTATAATAATTGCTTTGTCTGAGAAGGAGTCAAATATTCTTTTAATATTCAAATATTCTTAAAAGACGATCTGAGGTAAGGTCCCCACTATATTTATTACTTTTTCTGGTGGGATGCTCTCAAATATTCTTAAGACTGCCTTGCACAGGCAATATAATGTCTCTGTTAATAGCTGTTTCCAGATGGGTTGATATTCTACTGCTGATAGCTTGTTTTTACTACCAAAATGTGGTATAAATTGTCTAGTCAGTGTGATCCTTTGAGAGCAGCCAATCCCCAAATGGGGGTAAAAATAACACAACATACAACGCTCTACCCATGTTGTTTCTTCAGCATTTTATTGTGCTGCTTTTCAAAGAGACAAAGCAATAGAGATTTGTTACATATCTACTGGCAGAAAAACAGAATGCAGCACATGAACTTTAATAATATACAAATTAATTATATATCAAACATTATACAGATGGCAAATGCAGGCAGACACATGGATGTTGATTAAAGGAATGCTCACAATTATAACAACATTTAATTACATGTACATATCAAAATGAGAAATGATGATATTTGAACAATTTGCTCTGCTCTTTATTTAAAATGAATATACACAAATGAAAATAATATAATAATATTAATAATATTATAATAAATATATACATATTTTTTCATGTCTCTTTACGATATATAGTATAGTAACCACATACATATACATAACCAGAATGACATGATTTTACATTAAGCCCTTAAATAACGTTAACATAATAGGTGATGGTTACCATTCATGCTAGCACTTAATATATTTTATAAATAAATTTTACAAAGTTACTTCACTGCTGTACTTAACTGCAACAGATGCAACAAATTTTATATACGGTAACCAACTTGTTAAGAAAAATAAAACTTAAACCGGTCTACATTAAGCAATGCTTTTTCAACAAAGAGTACATTAGATGTCAAATTTGTAATATATCAAACTAAATTGTCTTAATGCTTTTAGTTACGAACTTGTTTTTTTTTTTCATGACCTTGTGTTGTGAGTTTGCACTGCGAACCCCATATTCTCGAAATTGTTTTCTCTTATATCCTTATATGGACATAGAAAACAGCTGTAAGTTAACACAGGCTATTTGACAAGGTTGTCATAATGTATCGACTGGCACCATTGTTTTAACACACAATAGACGACCAGTTTAGTCAGAACTCATGATTCATAGAAAACAATTTTAATTCTCTTCATGTGTGTAACATGTGCTTGTCATTGAACAAACATTTTTCATAATGGAATTTGGAGGTCTATTCAAACTAAAATGGGTGCCAGATTCGGCTGGATTCAAAGTGAAGCACAAGCGCTAAAATAACTGCCTATATATTAACCTTTCGAGTTTTGTTCCCAAAATGAGCTAACTACAGACTAGATGCGGTATATACACATGCACGGAAAGGCAAAAATACAATTATATGACATCTTTAACACAACAGTATATATATATACATATACAACAATAATAACCAAATAATATATAATGCACCAAAAACATGTGAATATCTACAATTACAATAATAGAAACAAAATCACGAAAAAAAAAAAAGTTTTCAAAAAATTAATCTAATAATATAATATGTGTCAATCGCAAATTATACTACATCAAAAGTAATTAATTTATTTGATGTGAAAGAGATTTGTTCTTATTCATAATTTCAACAAAAAAGCAAGATAGCAGCACCAAAGAAAACAGAAACCAGTCAAGGATTAAATGCAAGATCGAAAAAGCTAATTCCACAAGATACATTCCTATTCAAGAATAGAAATATGTATTAAACATACAATTACAATACAAAACATCAGACATACAACAAATACACAAAAAGCAATGATATGCCTATATAATAACTGAGATTCTTCTGCCAAATTAAAGCATTATTTTTTTTTATTATCTTACATAACACTGGAATGCATCTATCTTCAATAAAATCTTTATATTAACAAAATTATAGTTTATACAGTCACAACCTTTCTAGCAAAATGATACTTCTATTAAATTGTCTACATCTTTTTGTGATATCGTACTAATCAAAAAACAATTAAATCAAGAAATTGTTCAACAAAATTTCACTTTTTGCCCTCATTGAATAGAAAAATATTTGATTTATTTGCCATTTTTATCACAGAAATGTGTAACTTTGACCCAGATTTTGAAGAAATCAACAATAAACATCTATTAAATTTGTGACAAAAAAAATAACCATAAATTTAAAATCAAAATAATTTATCAATCGTTTATTTAATAAATAGATTTTGTTCCTGAGAAGAGATTTAGTCATTTCGTCTCAATTTAACTCAACTTCCAACATACAATAGACTGAATAGAAAAGATATATCTAAGAAGCCTTGAAGTTTGCTTATATTTCAATTAGAGAGCAACTAGCGTTAACACATTTTCTGCATAAGAAAATAGCCAAATAATTATTTTTGGTTAGGTGAATCTCCTTTCTTTCAATATTCATTATCAGTGGAGAAGAGAGATAAGTACATGTAAGTAAGCAAAAAGTTCACATACTTAAAAACATCAAAGTTTATTAAGCAGGTGTATGGTAGACTCTTGACCATGTGCGAATTGTATCATGACCTGTATCACGTCTAGGTTCCTGATGGAATTTCAAAACTAACTCAACTTGAGTTTTACATTTATACTAAATGTATATTGTATGACATAATATAAATTTAGAAGTTATCTCTAAAATTTTCCAAATTTAATTTAAATTAATTTCTACAAATAATTTTTTAATATGAAACTTAATATATATGTATTTCAATATAAAACCCAATAACATCAGTGTACAGATAAATTAAAAATATTGCTCTTTATTGATATTACAATTATTCTGAATGACACAATCATTGTACAGATTTTACAAATGCTTAATACATTTAATCATCAGGTCTTGCCATGATCAAGATCAATCCAAGATGTTTCTCAAGCTGAAATTTCTTTTGTGAGTAGTAAATATATCCTACCCTCAAATAATGAGTGTCAAAATACTTTTGCCCAGGTGTAAATTTATCTACAGAATTGATGCTACATGTCAAAACATAGCAAGTTCATTAGGTATGGATGCATAAAATACATGTATTTTTTACTAATAGTAAAGTTTTAATTCTTGAAAATTAGATTGGTTTCAAGTTCTAGAAGGCCATAAAGATTTTAATTTGAAATTCTAATCATTTCTTAAATTATTACATTGCACTCTATACCAACCATTAAATATACAAACATTACCATACAAAAACATATTTACCACAATATATATATATAATATATATACCTTTCATACTATCTTCTCTTAATATACTTTACACGAACACAACACAATTAAACATGTTGACTCAAATAAGCTTAATATACATCTTTGCAACAAAATTAATGACTAAATCTTTTGATGAAACATATAGACACATTATAATCTATGTATCAACACATTATAATCTATATAGACACATTATATTCCATATAGACACATTCTATTCTACAATGTAAGTTTTCTGCCTCTACCAAGTCTTCAGGTAACAAGGGAATGCTCCCATAGTGGAAGAATACATTTATTGTGTTGAAGATTTAATTACACAAATTATAGATTGATTACTGCATTTGAATGGCTTATTTTATAGGTATGAAAGACAGCTGGTTGTCAAAAATATATCATAGATTGTTTGTGTAAGTATGTATATACTAGTAGATATGAATATAAATATCCCTGTACATTTTAACTGCATAGGTGATTCAAATATTCCATAAATTTTGCCATATTTCAGTTTAAATATATTAATATACAATAATAGTCATGTCAAATGTTTAATCTTAAATAAAATAATTAGGAACAACTATTCGTTATCTGAATTTTCAGAGGTACAATTTTGCCGTTTTATTTCCAATATGCATCATACTTCTTCCATCTATTAACTGCTTTCATTGTCTACATGTTGTTTACACTTGATTAAAAGTTTTATTTGAAATGCACTTTTCATTCGGTGCCACAAATTGGTCTGTGTCCACATAATGATTTTCCGTCTTTTCCGTTAAACGCACTTTTTCCGGGCTAATAACAGGACTCAACGATCTGTACGATTTCTCCAGCACATAATTTTCTTTGTTGGATTTACTTGGAGAATCCATCAAAAATGGCATTTGACCCTGATAGTCTAAATTGGTTGATTTGGGTCGTATTTTAATGTCTGTCATTATTGTCGAATCATGTTTCATCTTGAACTTTCCAGTATGACGCCGACGTAATATTACCAAGAATAAGACTAACAGCGCAAGCAATGCTATCAATAGAATACCCACTAGAGCTGATATTGTCAACACATATTTTTCTTTTGATACTAAATCTTCTGTTGGTCCTGAAAGTAATACAAAGACAAATACTGTAAAGTGAAAATTATTTGGTGCTTGAAATTAATAAATATAATCTATCGTGAACTAAAATGTGTAAAGAAATTAATTTTTGCGATTTGATATGTCACTATCGCGTTGGGCATGTCCCAGGGTATTTGCATTTATAAATGAATGCAACTATAAACATGTCATATTGGTGGCAGATAGCATGTACAAAGTAGAGGATTCTTCCTCTTCTGGTACACCTGATACTACTCTACTATTAAAGTGCCCATCACAAGAAGAATCAAATGTTAAAACAAGAAATATGAATGGCAAGACATTATTCTTTCTTGCATAGCATACACTTTCTTTTTCAATCAAGTAGTTTTTACATAGATACGTTTGGCAAATACATAATGAGTGAAAAACGTACCATCCATAGCTAAAGTAGTGGTAGGAGAAGGTCTGGTAGTTAGAACTGGAAACAAATCTAATATACCTGGAGTTGAATGAATGTCTTCTGAAATAAAAAATATCAAATTCTAGCAATGATAATGGACTAACATTTAAAAAATTTGATGGGATGTTACAATACCTATATTCAAAGACCGGGATCAAATTCAAGTAAACAATCCTAACTTATAATCCTACTGGAAAGTGGTACCAGATGTTCCAAAAAGGGTTAGTGTATCTTGCCTCTTGCACGACTCCCATCTCTGCCATTGTGAAACAAAAGCAGACACAGTCTATTAGTTAATAAGCAAGTATCATTGGCATAGACTATTATATCATTTCGCAGCTATAAGGCATTTTGAAAAATCTGTTCAAGTTTGTAGATTTGCAAATAAAATCATACACTTACCAAGACATGATGGACAGCACTGTCCAGGTTTACGGATCATAACAGTACAATCCAATGGTGTGCAGGGTAAAGGTATACAGGCTACCTTGCCATTAGTACAAGAACATTCTGTACAGTTATCAGATAACCACTGTTCACCTGAACTATATGCTATATCATTAGCTCTACATACTTCATACTGATTTACATCTACAATAACAATAAACATTCCTTAAATAGCTTCAACTTTGACACAGATTTGGACCCTGGCAATCCAGAGATAGGGCATTCGACTCTTGACCAGAATTTCCTGGGTTGAGATCCCTACATGGATTAAGAAGAATCTTTGTGACTTTTCAATCTTGGTTCTCACTGGTCAGAGGTGCTAGCACCGAAAAATCGAGGTCCATGACATTATGTGCAAAATAACCCATGGCAGTAAGAATTCAATGAAGTGTGTAGACAGAAATGCTGCTGTTTGCTCAAAATCCATGCAAATTTTCTTTGTATATACAAAATATTAAAATCTTACCTATGCAGGAAGGACAGCACTGACCCTTTCTAAGAAAAGTTTTAGTACAGTCTAGTATTGGACAAGTCTGGGAGTAACAATGTATTTGACCATGTTTACAAACACAGCTCTGACATGGTGTTTTCTGCCAGACAGCTTCATGCTTATGTATCATGCCAGACTGGGTTTTACATGGTCTAGGAGTTAATACTGGTATAATTGGATCACCATCAACATCTACAAAATAAATTTGATATTGGTTTTTAATTTTGAATCACATCAAAATTCAATACTGTCGCCGACAAAACATATAAACAATATAAAACATAGGTCATGAAAAATCTTTAATAAGGCCATACAAAAAAAATATTCTGGTTCTCAGACAATCCTATGAGAAGAATCAGGTTTGCACAAACTTCAAATTTTTGCTTCCTTTAACTGAGGACATTAATGAGATTGTTTCTATTTTTTGATGCAAGAGTATCTGAGAAACAGATTATTTATTATGCACGGCCTGAGAAATCAATCATGAAAAACTTAAAACTAAAATGATGTGTACGTAGTGTGTGTTTTGCCTGAGAAATCAGGCTGTCAGTGACAAATCTTTTAAAAATCATAGTGAACACAAATCTTTTAAAAATCATAGTGAACACAAATCTTTTAAAAATCATAGTGAACACAAATCTTTTTTTATATCTTGTATAAACCTTGCATTTTCGTGTGTGCTCTCATCATATTTGTTTTAAAATACATCTAATTCTATTTTCTATTTTGAAAAGAAAAAGCCAAATGTTTGTGCCAAATTCGACTTAAAACATGCAAATTTACTTTAAAGTTGAAATAGATTCACAAAATAAACATATTTGTGGATTCAATTTAGAAGAAACACTTCACATGATAACATATGGATGAATAATAACATGCCTAAACTTTATTAAAATAGATGTATTTTTATATAATGGTTTACTTAACACAAACAGGTGGATATTATTAGCATAAACCAAAAAAGAAACACTGGCACTTCTCATTATTTTGAGTCAGTTTTGATCTTGAAAAAATCTAAGCACTTTACATGGACAAAGCATCCACTATGGTGGGAGGCACAAAGTAAAGATTTAGATGAAATTCATACCGTATTTGACTAAATAACAACCCAATGAATCCTAAATTTGAGAAAGAAAACATCATTCAAAAAATCTCCAAGAGTGGAAGTGTTATTAATTGAATTATTGATAAGAGCATATCTGTTGGTAACTACATTTAACATTAGCGAAGACACCATAGCACCAAGAGGTTAAGTGATGGAAATGGGCATTTATTTGGTATATTATGGTTTTAATTTTATATCAAAGATGTATTTGTACAAAATAGACAAGCGCCAGTAATGCCTACTATAACTGCTAGGGTAAATATATATCTCAGCCTACTAAAAACACAGAAATCAAATAAATTAAAAGGAAACTAGGTTTCATAAATATGTCGAATAAATTCATAATTATATTAACTGTACTGTCTATAATTAATTTATCAAATTTTATTGTTTATATTAAGGCAGACTTGTATTTGATTTAAAGGTGCAATACTACTTTATTTTTATTTGGAAAAAAGCCAAAATAAATATTATCAAATTGATTTTCAAGAGAGATATGTTAAATTCAACTGGTCGTCGGTCATATCAAATGCATCAAATAGCCTGACTATTTCTTTTATTTTATTGCCTTGAGACTTTTTTTCTGGCATGTATCTTTCATCTTTTACATGTTTTCTCTTGTAAAAAGCCATGTTTTTTTATCTGATTAAAGGTAGTATTATAACCATGTGATGTCCAGGATATACTTAAATTTAACTTTACATGTGAACTACGCTCTAATGTATATAACATAAGTATTACATACTGTTCTTTAAAAGATATAAAGTATATGCCTTGAACCACATGTCAGATGTGTACGGACTTTGAACACAAAAGCTCTTTGAAAACCTATTTCATTTGGCCCGAAGAACAAAGTTTTGAGAGATAATTTTAGAAACCTGAATATATTGTAAAAAGAACTTTAGTTAAAATAAATAGAATTAACCACATATTGATTTAATTTAGCACAAAGCAAATATTTACCGTTCTATTTTGAATGAAGTTAGAGAAACCGGTTTGTATTATTGAATTAGTCTCGGACCACTGTAGCTGTATATTTTTTTTTTCATGGTATACTGTTTTATGTACAATTACATTAAGTATTTTTAGTGTACCAATTATGTTGTTTAATCTATGACCAAGAGTCTGTGCTTTTAATTTTGGTTTAGATTTTTTTCATGGTATACTAATCTAAGTGTAATTAATTACATCAAGTATTTTTGGTGTACCGAAGTGTTCTTTGATCTACAACCATAAGCCTTTGGGTTTTTTTAATTTGACTATATTTGCAGAGCCACCAACATATTGATTAGGAAAAATTTAATTTCTACAATAAAATAAATTGGCAGGAGTGGTTTATACCTCTGCAGACGGCACAGCAATGTGATGCTGGTTTGACTGGATGATGACATAAAACAGGAGGGCATGTGTGGGATTCACATAAAACAGTTCCATCATGACAAATACACTGAGTACATTCATCCATCTTCCAGATCTCTCCTTCGACAAAATAGTGACCAGATACACTCTGACAGGATTCCTTCTTACCAACACTAGGTAAAACAGAAACACCTGTAAAAATAAAATGACACTGTCATAAAACATAATGACCGATAAAAGAAAATGGTAGATTTTGCAATCTCTCTTTATTTTTTTCTCCATTATGACAATGTTCCTTGATTTAACGGCTACATTCCCACACACTCAAAATGTTAATTAATTCTAATACAGAGTTTCAGTTAAGGTCTTCCCTTCAATCATTAAATGACATTGGGTAAAATGCAATGCAACATGTAGAGTTTTTTTTTTAAACCTTCCTATGTAAATGGCACAGCTTTTTGAAATCCATAATGTGTTCAACACTGTCTTCATGACCACATACACATTCCTATCTGGTTTAAATTTCTGTTCCAATTGAAAGACCACACAGTAAATCTATAGGGAAATCAATCCAGCCAGACAAATGTGCTGGTCATGTTTGTGGTGTTACATTTCTCAAGTTATATGTCTGAGTGAAAATATTCTAAAATCAATTTCCACCTACCTGGGCAAGATGGGCAACAATCTCCAATTCTAAACACCGGGTTAGCACATTTAGGCACAGGACAAGATATTAATGAACACATTTCTTGTCCTGATAAACAATAACATAGACCACAACCATCATGCCATGATTCACCATCTTCATGACGTTGACCAGTTTGAGACATACACGATTTACCTTCTTCTCCAGTTCTACTTAGATTGAAGTAGGAAGGTAGAGTAGGTAATGGTGGTGCTTCTAAAATAAATAAATAAATTAAAAAAATAAAATAAAGAAAAAAAAAATAAAATAAAGAAAAATAAAATAAAATAAAGAAAGATAGGTTGCCAGACAACGAAACATACGCCCACAGCAGCTATATCGTCCGGGCAGTCAATAAGAGTTGTCGCATATTTTTACTTTTTTCGCTAATGGAACATTTATAACACATTAAAATCTGATTAAGAGTAACAACTCATTAAGTAATTATCAGAAAACCATTAGAATTTGTTTGGTTTTTATAAAGTTCTGCCCCATGCTAACGTTTAGTATACAAAACTTTTAACATCATGGATTTAGCTGTTTAAGTCATAAAGATTCATTGAAAATCAGTATATTGTTCGTCTCAAGACCTTAAACACTGTGTATCAATTTAAAGTCAATCGGATATTAACTTTAGCCTCTAGAGCGTCCACAAGATTTTTCAAAGTGATCAAGGGCCATAACTCTGGCAGTAATTATCGGAAATTGCTGAAAATCAATAGGCTTCTTCGTCTCGTTACCTTAAACACTGTGTATCAATTTAAAGTCAATCGGATATTAACTTTAGCCTCTAGAGCGTCCACAAGATTTTTCAAAGTGATCAAGGGCCATAACTCTGGCAGTAATTATGAGAAATCGCTGAAAATCACTAGGCGTCTTAAACACTGTGTATAAATTTAAAGTCAATCGGATATTAACTTTAGCCTCTAGAGCGTCCACAAGATTTTTTGGAGTGATCAAGGGCCATAACTCTGGAAATAATTATCGAAAATCGCTGAAAATCAATAGGCTTCTTCGTCTCATGACCTTAAACACTGTGTATAAATTTAAAGTCAATCGGATATTAACTTTAGCCTCTAGAGCGTCCACAAGATTTTTTGAAGTGATCAAGGGCCATAACTCTGGCAGTAATTATCGAAAATTGCTGAAAATCAATAGGCTTCTTCGTCTCATGACCTTAAACACTGTGTATAAATTTAAAGTCAATCGGATATTAACTTTAACCTCTAGAGCGTCCACAAGATATTTTGAAGTGATCAAGGGCCATAACTCTGGCAGTAATTATCAGAAATCGCTGAAAATCAATAGGCTTTTTCGTCTCATGACCTTAAACACTGTGTAGAAATTTAGAGTCAATCGGATATTAACTTTGGCCTCTAGAGCGTCCACAAGATTTTTTGAAGTGATCAAGGGCCATAACTCTGTCAGTAATTATCAGAAATTGCTGAAAATCAATAGGCTTCTTCGTCTCATGACCTTAAACACTGTGTATAAATTAAAAGTCAATCGGATATTAACTTTAACCTCTAGAGCGTCCACAAGATATTTTGAAGTGATCAAGGGCCATAACTCTGGCAGTAATTATCAGAAATCGCTGAAAATCAATAGGCTTTTTCGTCTCATGACCTTAAACACTGTGTAGAAATTTAGAGTCAATCGGATATTAACTTTGGCCTCTAGAGCGTCCACAAGATTTTTTGAAGTGATCAAGGGCCATAACTCTGTCAGTAATTATCAGAAATTGCTGAAAATCAATAGGCTTCTTCGTCTCATGGCCTTAAACACTGTATATAAATTTAAAGTCAATCGGATATTAACTTTAGCCTCTAGAGCGTCCACAAGCATTTGATATGACCGACGACCAGTTGAATTTAACATATCTCTCTTGAAAATCAATTTGATAATATTTATTTTGGCTTTTTTCCAAATAAAAATAAAATAAAATAAAGAAAAAATAAGAAAAAATAAAATAAAAAAATAAAATAAAATAAAATAAAATAGTTTCATTTCTTTTCATCTATTATTAAATACAATATTTTGAAAGAGCAATGTGTATAAAAGTTCAAGGAACTGGGTCATTTTGGGAATAACATAAAGAATCAGTAAGAGAAATCATAATTTGAAGAAAACCAATGAGGGTAGGTATACATGACGCTCCTAATTGTTATCATGTACAATAGTGGAACTAAATTCAACTGTTTTCATGAAGACTTATATTGAAAGACCATCCAAGAGTTGTGAAAGTGAATTATTTTTAAAATTAAAATGACCATACCTGAACATTTACACAACTGACAACCCTGATCATTGAAGGTGTATCCATGGAGGCATCGCTTGGTACAGTTGAATGGTGGACAACTCTTACAACGACACTTTAAACACCCATTACGATTCTTACGAAAACCATAAGTGCACTGTTTATTACAATCATCCATACCAGGACAATGTTCCAATAACTCAACACATTCACATATTTCTTCTCCTTTCTCATTTATCTTCTTTCCAAATTTACATTCAATATTACAGATTTCTGAAAAACAATGGATAAAATTTGCAAAAGTTATAGATCTGGTTCATTGATAAAAATATGGAGATTTATATCTTTGACTATTTTGAGAGGGTCTGCAATCTGCATTCATTGTGTGAAAACTGTTCATATAGGACTCAAAACCAAACAAAATCTCTGTAGTATAACTCCCAGCATGAGTCATGAAGAACATTCAGCATTATTCAAATCAGGTTCTCAGTGATGCAATGCTGACAATAGAATCATGTTCATTGCTTTCAATGGGATGAAATACAACTGTCCCAAATACAAATTTTTAGTTCACATAATTGAACCCTTGGCTGTTGGAACTTGAAGAAGAGTAAGTGGAAATCTGGTTGCCCTGGCAAAATTCACTCATTTGCACAAATAGAAATTACTTAATGTTAGTCTCAAATGTTGAAATGAGTACAGACTCAAGAATTTTAGCCCCATTCCATTATAAATTTTAACATTTGTATGCCCTCACAATGGTCAACTATTTTCTTCTCAGTTGTATAAATTCTGAGAATGTTTTTTTATGGTTGAAGAATCTGGTATACTTTGTCAGACAGTGTTTTATTTTGGTTGAATTTGTCTGGTGTATTTTGTCTGACTGTGATACTGATCTTTCTATTTCTATTTGTTTTATAAAATAAGAGAACTATAATTACCTTCTTTACATTTACAGAGAAAACAACCTTTATCGGTTTTCTGTAGACCAAGAGGACAATCTAAACTACAATTTTCTGTTTCTGTACATAGTTTGGGTGGATATATCAAACTATCATCTATAAATATACACAATCAAAATATATAGTAAAATGAAATGGCATTTTAAGACTAGTGTTATGGTTCTATTTGGGTAACCTTATTGTCAGGATTCAATATATTCTATTTTTTGCTATTATACTAGATGGGTTCAGTCCATATAAGATCATTTGGTTCACAATACAGGTAATTGCTTTTGCAACACGAAAAGGAGCACATTAGTTGTTGTCTATTTTAAAATAATATGTCACGATTTTTGACAAAAGTTAGCTAATACTGCAGCAATTGGATGGAATGCAGACATTTTACATCACAAAAACTATTTGGTATTAAAATAAGTAAGTCATCAATTTTAAAGTGCAAAATCTTAAACTCTATAGAAGCTTTAAGATATAATCTTCTATCATAACGATCAGTGTTCAGAGGTTTAGGTCTATTGTATATCATAAAATATTTTGTGTAGGTGTATATCTGGCTTATATAATATATTAGAAAGATCAGGTATCCTATATCTACTGTAAAATCTTAAACACAGCAGTCTTTAGAAGGACAAAGGTACACCTGAAGAGACGAAATACCAAGTATCCAAGGTTGGATTTATTTTATAACCCCAGCAAATAACGACACAATCTTGTTAACTTTAATATTATATCACAGGGTTAACGACGACAAAATACTATCATTACAATCAATTGTCCTCATCAAATAGTGGAATTCTTTATATGTTTTATCATACTCCATCAAAATTGAAATCTGAGTAGACAAATATGTAAATCATCATATAGTATGATTTTCATATTCTTTTATAGTTTAAATGTAGACAGGTTGAGATTTATGATAAGATGGGGATTTAAGACAGAATTAAACCAGCGGCTGCTAGGCAAGATACACCCACATTTTGCAAGAGATGGACAGAGAACAAGCTAAACAAAAACACGATTTGTTGTACAATCAGGGGCTATAATCAGGTTACGGTCCCATATGCATGAATATCGAAAGGAACCCAGATCTTTTGGATATAAACATATATTTTAAGTTTCCTCAAAATCAAATAAAAACTGTGACTTCTAGAGGGTCCACAACCTTGGTATTACATACTTTTAGACTATTTGCATACAAGAAGTGGCCATTTTGTCCGTCATGCCAATTTCAAAAGGAACCAAGATCTTTGTGAGATACACCTATATTTCTAGTTTCATTAAAAACGGATAAAAATTGTGACCTGTAGAGTGTCCACAAACAAAATGTTAACGGACGGACACATGGACAGACAGGGGCGACGACAATATACGTCCGCACGAAAATGTGGGCATATAAAAATTATAAAGTTCACTCGAACTGGGTCTTTGATATTGGATTACAAACCAGATAAGTAATTCAGATGTTTAGGGGCTGTGATATAAGATACTACAGACATTTGCATTTTGACATATGTCAAATATGTAAAACACATCAGACACCTTTTCAAATCATCAGCAGAAACTTGAATATCACACCTAGGGACTTTGAATTTCATATCAGATCTATTCAATTCACCAGCAGAACATGAATTGCACATCCATCTATTCAAATCATAGTGAACTTTGAATAGCACTTCAGATCTATTCAACCATCAGTTCAACATAAATAGTATATCAATCAGCACATACACCCCTTTCAAGAAACCATACATAAGTTACCAGTTCTGGTAAGTCTGTTTAAAACACAGGGTTGGTAATGGTTCAGCAGTTGTAACAGATTTAACTACCGGTAACTTTCAGGATGGCCAGATTTTTTTAAATATTTATAAAGTACTAGTAATTCATACTGACCATCACAAACTGGACAGCATTGACCAGCAACCTGTCTTGGATAAGAACATTGGACAGCACACATTTCAGCTTGACATAACACCTGGCCCATGTCACAATGACATGATACACAACTATTCTCCTTCCATACTTCAGTATTATTATAAAGTTGACCAGATTCAGATACACAACCTGATATTAGACAAAATGTAAAGATGTAACAATAGTATCTATTACCCTTCAACAAACAGAACTTATAATTCACTCACAACAGTACTCTACCACAACCCTTACAGCTGGCTCCCATAACCATTCACTTCATTTAATAATTATGTGACGACTTACAATGTCTGAGTTTTGTCACAATTTCTCTGTGTTTGTCTAGATTTTCAGTTAGTCGCTATTAAGGTCTGGCCTTCTACACTGATGACTAATATTACACAATTTAATTCATTCTTTTTGACTATTTTTTATGATTATATTTTGCCTACAAAGGGTTGGGCCCTTAAGAAATTGCAATCATTCATTCTATAAATGTATATAAATTTAATTTCAAATGATGTTCTTTTAAAATCTCCCTGTCCAAATCCTACATCATTCTTACGTTCTAGTTTACTAGAATCATAAATTTGAAAGATAGCATGCTAAATTTGAATAATGGTATGAAAACTTAAATCACCTCGACAGACTGGACAACATTCACCATCCGGTATCACCATCCAGCCACATAATGTTTCATTACACGTTTTAGTTTTACAGAATGTTAAACCATCTTTACATGTACATGTTGTACATTTATCTAGCTGCCAACTCTGCCCATCTTTATAATCTTCACCTTCATAATAACATGTTAATCCAGTATCTGTAAAAAATGAAATATTCCTTAAAATTTTTGTGACAGTATTTATTTAAGTATTAACATAAAGGTTACTTTCAAGCATCAATTGATGAAATACATTATGTTCAAAACTATATAAATATGATTTTGTTAAAGTGGTGCTAAAAATAGAATTCAAATTTTCCAGTTATGTTCACAGATATGTAAATCCATTGGTGCCAACTTAGCCATATGATTGCATATGTAACAGTCTTGACAATTTGTCTTACGAAACTATAAAATTGAATGGCTTGTACATGATATAATCTCAGTGAAGTGGTCATTAAATAAATCTATTACACACACAGAACTGAAATGAAATGGAAGTTCTGATCGAGCAGATCACCATTATGGAATACAGTAAAGTGATCAGTTGAACAGATTTTCATAGGTCATAATTTTGTGTCAACTGTGTCATTCTGTTAAGCTATTTAATATGCTAATCTACATGTACAACACATTATACATAATTTTGATGTGAGTTAACAGTTGCAACAATTACTATCTTTGTGAGATTCACGAATAAAAGATGACATATCCTGTTGTAGAAAGTATAGGCATATCCCACCTCATGTACAACACTCATTTCAATGACAAACAAACCGATTAACTCAACATTGTATAAGGTAAGTGACCTGTACTAATCTATCATAGCTATAAACTCAGTGTTAGTGAACAATATAATTTCTCTAGACATAGAGTACTTGAGAGAACTGTGTGTTAGAATTATATCAGAAGATTATATTGTCTTGACTTTTAGGAGACTAAACTTGACCTAGCCATCTGAGTAAATATCAACATAAACCTTCCATTATTACACCTATATGTCAATTGATATACTTATAGTTTAGCCATCTTTTATTAGATTAACAAGTGGTCTAACCACAAACTCTATGTTTGGTTAATATAATAAGTCGGTGTTCTACATATGTTAGCATAAATACATACATTATCAAATCAGAACCAAACACAAACCTACATGTACAGATATAACATTAATTGCTAGTAACTAGACATTAAAAAGAATTGTCTTCAACAACATTCTCCACAAATATTGCAAAATTGATTTCAATATTGTTGACAATATAAACTTTCCGAAAAATTAGAAAAAGTATCAGGTGTGCAAAAAAGATTAAGCATACCCTTCCTTGTGTAAACTTTTGTGACTACATAAGGCAAACTGGCACAACAGTGTCTGCTTGAGTTTCATAAACTTTAGCCAGAAGGTAATCCCTGAACAATGACCACCAGCAGAACCAAAAGCCAAAGACATTTAAAATAACAAAGAACAAATCTAATCGTGGTAAAAAATGTATGGATGACGCCATAATTGACTCTCCTTTCAATGCTATTGTAGTAATATTTTCAACCTGCTTAATGATATCACATTTAAAGGATAAAAATGGCCACCCATATATTTCCTAGATTCAGCAATGAGTTCACAAATAGAAGAAATAAGAACCATATACCAGTAATCTTTTCCAGTAATACTTTTATCATGACTTTCTAAAATTTCACTGTGCTCACTAAAGGTAGTATTAGTTTTTATACCTAAAATAAAAGCAAAGAAGTTTTTGTACCACCCATATCTACAGTTCATAAGGTTCTGTTTTCTTATTTTTTCCATTTCTACTTAAGAACTAAATGCATTATTATATTTACAAGAAATGTTGAAAGGGTTGGTATGTATTGGCGTTGTTGGCAATCTTTTCAAGATATGTATACCGGTATATAGACTAGTGGAAGTAGACATCGGATAACTTGTGACCAGATGTAGCCCACTCCGCATCAGTAGAATATTTATCAAACCTTTATACCAGTTCCACCCAAAACTCTATTCATTTCCCTCATGATTTCATATTATCAGTTTTCATAAAACTATATTTTAAACAACTCTGCTAAGCATTCTAGTATTTTGAAAGTGACATGATGGTATTGTAACAATATGCTGTGGAATCTTCTTAAAGAGTCTGGTAATGGCAAACTCAACCAGATTCTGAATACATGAAATATCTTAACTGTCAAGTGATAAAGAATAATTCCTGTTATGCTTCCTGTGGTTTTAAAAGGTGAATTTAAATTTCTTTCAGATAAAGTTACAGACAGGTTTAACCAGGTCTGAAACAATATGCTACAGTTCCAGAAAGATTACTAAATTGTTCTATTACATAATCATAGAGCTGCTTATGAAAACATTTATCTCACACACTAGAATTAAGAGGGTGTGAGTAAAACGACAGGACATTTTCCCGGAATATTTTCACTATTCTGTAAATTCAGAGATTATGTTGACCATATATGACGTTGACGAAGGGATAAGAAACTTGATAAGAAGAGAAAATAACTGAGCTATTATTTCTCCGGTCCAACATCTTGAGGAAATATGAATACCAAAGATCAACAATGGATATTATATGCAGCTGCAGGTTTTTCATTAAAACCTCAAATGAAGGGTTGGAGGTTTTGTGGCCATCTAGGTGAAGTTTGGGTGTTTGTACACAGGATAAACAAAACACATGGAATTAACTCCTTGTATTAAATAAAAGTTCATGTTGCAGCCAAACAGGAAATAAGAGTCTTTTCTATAGTTTGCAAGGTGATATTGCTCGTCTTCACTGAACAAACAGTCAACATATGCTAACTCTAAATATACATGTACATACATGTACAGATTAACAAATTAGCATTTATGCTCACCAGATAAAATTTCAAAATATTGTCTCATTTCATATTCAATAAAGCTCAAGGTAGTGCCAGACCAAGTGACCCCCCACCCCCAAAACTGTGACCAAGAGTTCACGATCAACAATATTTAAGGGATATAATATCACTGATTCAGTATGGTTTTACCGTATCTCTATTTGTAGACCAAGAATGTGCATTTTCATATAATTTTGTCCAATGCCAACAGTACTACCTACTGGTACAAAATATGACAGTTCAACATATTGGATGAACAGAATGGATGAACAGAATGAAACAGAGGCATTTTGAATCCTCTGCAAACTACAAATATTTCAAAAGTTGAATCTCAAAAAGGAATATCAGTCCAAATAGGTTTAAATTCAGTTTGGTATTTACTAAGATATGATGAATTCAAAATTCATAATATTCGGCATCCTCTGCAATTGAATCCAAACCGTGATGTTATCTACCAATGATCTTTTGGTTATTTTAATAATTAAATGTTATATAATCAAGTAAATGTTGTTCGAAAGATGCAGTATGGAGATCTGCGACTTTATAACAACATGTCCATCAATTTTATGGATGCTCAACTAAATTAGAAATGAAAGGGAGTTTAACATCCTACCAAGATGTCTTTTTTAACAACTAAATTAGAAATGAAATGGAGTTTAACATCCTATTAAGATGTCTTTCTACTGTGTTATCAGAGCACTCCCAGTAAGAAATGTTTCTCTCATTACAGAAAATTATGTGTCAGTGTTTAGTAATTACAGGTAAGACATTAATAGTACATAAATAAAATAAGATGAACATACAATAAGAACCAGTAACTGATCATTATTACAGCCATCCTGGAATAGTGACGTCTTAAGAACAAGTTTCATGTTGATTGTAATTGAAATGGTGAAGTTTTAGACTCTTTTTTTTTTAAGAACAACAATGGCAATAACAAGATTGTCAATTGTATGGAACCAGTTCCTGGTTCAAAAATAATAATTTTCATGCATTATGTATAAAGTTGGTAACCAAATACCAAAACATACAAAAACTGTTCTCAATATTGAATACCTCCTTCCTACACATTTGGCACTTTGTTAGTTATGTAATTTATCTCTCTTTTATCTTATATTTTGCATACACTAACAATAGCATCACATCGTAATAACACATGGATGTGATAGAGGCCACCATTTGCTTTCCACATTAATTTTAATTTTTCTTCTGTTTATAACATTAAGTCACTGGTAAGTTATTCATCTTTAATATATACTCTTGGCATGCAATTATCAAAGTTTTCTCCATATGTAAGATGTAAGCAATTAGACTGTACAAATAAGTGGTACCCCTCAACAAGTCGGCCATAATATATCAGCAAGTCGGCCATAATATACATGTATCCAAAACATAAAGTACATCAGACAATTATAGGGATGTAAAGCATAATTCATATTCTAATAGATTTTATCCTTATCACAAATAGAGATATCAGCATTTTACAATGAGGTAAATTTTTTAGAAATACAAGTCCAAACTATCCCTCTCCATTTAGCTACAAAAAGTGGCAAGTGTCATGCATGAGGCTGGTATATGTGCATTCTTTCTGGAATGCCAGATTCAAAGGAGTTTAAAACATTTTGTTATATGTTGCCTTTGAAAATTTTTGTTAAGTTACTGTTCTTTAATCAAGCACAAGTCTTACAGCTGGTTGTGTGACAAAATAGATTTTCCACATTTGATGCTGCATATTAAGGACATTAGACATTTTTTTTTTACAAATTTAACAGCTATTGCATTTTCATAGTAGATTTACTGTAAAGTAATAAACTTATAACCATTCACTTCACAGAATTACTGAAAAATCAGTCATTTGAAATAAAGTATGCAGATTTTAGCTCATGTGTAAATGATATTAGCATATACTATTCAAAAAAAGTAGGGGATATTTGATTTTGGGGGCATAATACTAAAATATGCAAATGACTACGAAAAAAGTCACTATAGAACCTAACAGAAGAAACATTTCCAGTTACATGTGACGCCCAAACGCACCAATAGCTACCGCATGGAATGCAGGTGATGCTTGGGATCATCATGGGGGTCCAACCCAAGATTTGCACGACTCTGACTTTGAATGTTACAGTCATTGTGGCATTGAATTCCAGGGTGGAAACATCAGTTTAATTGTTTTAGTGACCAGAAAACAAATTTTGATATGCGTCGGCTTACCAAAAATTGAAAGGTTACGTGCCCTTGGCATGCTACAGATCGGCACAACACAGGCGGTTGTGGCGCGGACG